GCCTGTCTTATGACCCTGACTGAACAAATGCTGACTCGTTTGGGAAGATCGTGGACGGCCTGCACAACGTTGACGCCGATTCCGAGACGAGTTATCGTTACCTGCATCTTGTGCACCCTCACCCCACGAAATGGGACTACATCGCGAGCCATATGTCGAAAATCCTCAAGGTCCCTGTTGTACCTTTTGGAGAATGGTACAGCATGCTGGAGAAGGCAGCGACTACGGGCGGTCCACAGGCTGCGGAGAGTAATCCGGCCATCAAGTTGATGGATTTCTTCGGTCGGGGATACAAGGCTCTGGAAGAGAACACGAAGCAGGGCAAGTACAAGCCGAAGGAGGCGATGGGCATGCCAGACCTGCAAACGAACAAGGCCGTGGAAGTGAGCGAAACGCTGAGAGGATCGAAGGTGTTGGGCCAAGAGGACGTCCAGCTTTGGTTGGGCTACTGGGAGAAACATGGCATGTTCGCATGACCGACGTTTTCCAAAAGCATTTTGTAGATGTGTACGAGTATTTGAATATCATTGATCGAACACTGTTGGAATGGACCTAGACTGTTATCTGCCTGTTGTGACTTGTCTATCCCAAGAATTGAGATAATAACTTCAGCAATAAAGAGCTCAATGGCATTGCGCTTCTATCGTACAGTGATTCACAAGCTATTGTATGGAGCATATATGTTATGTATGAAAGCTCAAAAGGTGAGGAGAATGGAGGGAAACCCCAGAAGTGAGATTGTTCGATACACAGCAAAAAAGCAAAAACAGTGTTAAGAACCAAAGGATGGGAGGTTATCTTGACTGTGCCGAGGCCCTCGCAGCAACGGCTTGTTTGGAAAGCTCCTCTTGACGCTGCCAGAGCATCTCCGCCCACAGGGGATGAGTCGGAACACGTCCGATACGGGATTTCAGCACTTCCATCCTAAAGATGCCATCAGCATGCTGCCCGATGTTCCGAGGGTATCTTTCTCACCATTTGGCTTTCTCCTCGTCGGTATCAGCAAAGAAGCCGATCTCATCCCCACCCTCGAAGATTAGCCGGAAACTCCTCTGGACTCCGGTATAAGAATACAGGTCATCGTCTGAGTTCATGCTGCGGGTAATGGTCGTCTTGCCGGTAGTAACTTTGAGCGCGGGATCCTGATCATCTTCGAGAGCGATCGCTTTGCCGACATCAATCGTGGCGGTGATCTTCTTGGTTACGTCATTTGAGGCAATCATCTCAGCCCCAATCACTCTGAAACGGCGCCGGCGCCAGGTCTAGATGGGATATATCAGACGGAGAGCGCACGGTGATGTGCATGAACTTACCGAGCAATCACCACCATTCTGGGTCAGGATGCCTTCATGATACAAAGCCTTGTGCCACGCCACGTGCCTGAGCCCGCGCTGACATTCTTCCAAGCTCTGTGGAAGGGCGTCCTGTTCGATACCTGGCAGTGGTGGCAACCTAAACACCTGAAGGACAATATCGCCCACAGTGCGTGCTGAGGGCACAGCAACAGAAGAGCCAGTCACTGTGTCAGGCACAGAGGAAGACGAGCGTGCAAGGAGCGGATACGACGTCTCGAATATTCTCGTGTCGGAGCGCCTGGCGATATCTTTGAAAGATATGCTCGCTTGTGCAAGCGTTCCGTCAGGACCTATATGCTTGGCAAGATAGTCAACCTGCGGTTGTGGTAACTCTGACTGTGCCCGAGGGATAGGCACAGGAGGAGGGGGAGAGGTCTTCGGGGTCTGTTTTGACTTCTTCGGACTCCCAAACAGGGCCCGGAAACCAGAGCGCTGAGTAGGCGTCGCGGACTTTGTCGTGACGACCGATTCGCGGGAAGGGAGTGAGACAGGGGGAGGGGGAGGAGGACGCAGTTGAGCAAGGATATGTTCGTCCTTCCGAACTCGGATCGTCAATGTGAATTCAAGCTTGGGATGTTCGATGAGCTCAAACTCTTGCTCGATGACCGTGTCGCGCTCTAGGATCGCCTCGGGTGTGGTAACAGCATGAATACCGTTGTTGAGCGTGACGGTGAAATAGGCAGGGATCTTCGGAAGGGGAACATTCAGGCCTTTGATGCTGAGGACTGCATCTACGGTGAGCGAATACCCATCAGTCGGATGCTGTTGCTCAACATACCCCGTACGAACACCTTGCCAAGAGCCTTTCCGCCTTTATCCGATCTCCTCAGCTCCCTAATCTCTCTGGCATACTCGTTCTACAATCCATGAGCCACCATCCTAACCCCCAGAGTGCGCACTTACCATATCCGAACTCCGCCGAATGACCTTCCACGCCTTACCCTTATCGACATCCCCCGCTCCCTGGACATGGCCAACCTTCTCCATATCCGCCGGGCTAGAGACCTTCACCTCCAGCTCCCTAACCTGATACGACCGCTAACCCCCCCCCCCAAACAAATGAGCCTCATCCACCAACCAAGCAAGGAGCAGACTTACAGGGTTCTCCATATACTTCCTCACTTCCCTTTCGACACTGACTGCAAATGGGTCGCTAGTGATCACCGGCGTGGGGAGTAAACCACTACCGCCAGGCTTGTCCACCTTCGCTTCCTGGGAGATGTCCACATCTCCCATAGACAAACTGCGTCTCCTCCCCGGGCGCTTCTTCGGCACCTCCAATCTCTTGCCTTTGACCGGGGTCGGGGCAGGACTCCCCTCATCCTCCTGCTCGTGCTCGTCAGAGTCGAACCCCCCACGCTCCCTCTCCCGTTTCTCTCTACGCATAGCCAGGATCTGTTTCTGCCGCTGCTCGATACTGTTCGTCCGTTCCACTTCCTCGGCATCTTCCCTAACCTGGTTCTGGCCCTGGCTCTGGCTCTGGGACTGGCTCTTGGTAGGACTCGTAAGATGCACGCCAAAAGACGGCACAGGCACCCGCTTGCTCTTCCCCGGACTAGGGCTACCGGACATCCCCCGTGCAGGACTGCCCTTGCTCCCACTCCCACTCCCATTCCCGTTCCCATTCCCATTTCTGGGGGACGCTCTCTGCCTAAACCCATCCACGAGCCTCTCCAGCCCACTCCTAATCCCCACCAGCCCCTCCTCCCTATTCGCACCAGGCGCACCAGTCGTACCAGTCGTACCAGGCGTCCCCGTACCCGTACCCGTAGGCCCAGTCCCAGGGGTGCACGGAAGTGCTTTCTCCACCCTCACTGACATGCCATCCCACGGATGTACAACCTCTACTTCTTTCGCAAACGGAGCTGCGTGTTCCACCGGTATGGGAGAGTCGGACCCGAGGGGGAACATCTCCGGTACCGGCGTGCCCTGCGTGCTCGTGCTAAGGGTAGGGGTGGGGTTGGTGAGCGGAGGGCTGTCCTCGACCTCTGGCGTCGCTGAGTTGGAGCTATTCTGGCCGGGAGATGTTGGCGTCGCGTTCCGCCGGGGGAGAAAACGTTCCCTGAGCCGGGCACGCACTTCTTCCTTTGTGATCCTAGGCGCTGTATGGGTAGGGGTGGGCGGGTCCTGACCCTCCTGGCTTGAGGGAGGGCCGATAGCGGGAGAGTTGAACCCGAAGGGGGAGATGAGCGCCAAGTCCGGAAGGACAGGCGTGAGCCCCATCCCCATCCCATCTTCCTCCTCCGCAGGCTGCAGCTGCTGTGGATATCCCTGCTGCTGGGACTCTAGCAAATGCTGCCGATGCCGCTGCGAATGCCGCGTCCTCCCCAAAGGCACTCCATCTTCCGTATCCTCCTGTTCCCACGCCGTGGACCGATTCGGGGGAGTATTAGGTGTTGCCAAACGCGTAGGAGTGCCGAACCCAGTACTAGTGCTGTTCCGCTGTTGATGTTGACGGGGAGGGGTGCTGGGCACTAGTACTGAAGAGCCCCGTGCGGGTGGTTGGGGCGAGCCCGGAGTTGAGGAAACGGTTGTCATCCCACTTAAGGCGCTGAGGTCGGCAGGACATATATGGGAAACAGAGTGGATGAACGAGTGTTCCCTGAGCATGTGGGAGGGCAGCTCGCTGTCCCCTTCCCCTTCCCCTTCCCCGTCTCCGTACACTTCTGTGTCCGTTTCCCCGTCTTCGGGCGGGTGAAGTAGGGCAGTCTCGTACCCCTCAGGATGGATCTCCACCGTCCCCCCAGAAACGTGCGAGCAGAAACTCGTATCCCCCTCCCCCCCCTCCTCCGCATCCCCATCCTCTCTAGTAGCAGAACATACAAACTTTCGCATCTCCTCCTCCGAAGCCGAGGGGATCAGTAAGCTCGCATCCCGAAGTATGGACTCCACGTCCCGTTCTATACGTGAGATCCGGGAGAGGGACGTTTCCCGTCCAAGCTTGGACCTGTTCCTGGCAAAAGGGTTCGGGGAGGACGCTGGTGCTGGCGCTGGTGCTTCGGTAGGCAGGCGTGTGTCGGGAGGGGTGGGTTGGTGCGTGTCGGGTGAGTGGGAAGGGAAGGGAGATGCCACGAGTTGGGAAACGAGCCCTTGCAGGCCGTCTTGTTCCTGCTCTTCGTTTTCCAGGTCAACGTTGATGACCCTGAGTCCGCCGGCCCACTCTCCCTCTCCTTCCCCTTCCCTTTCCCCCCCCTCTCCGGGGTGGACAAGCTCCCCCACCTCCTCGCTCGTCCCTTCCGCTTCCCCAAACTCCGGCTCAGGCTCACTCGCACTCCCCTCCATCCACTCCCCTTCCACGTCCTCTCCACTCTCGTCCCTCTCAAACTCTACAACATCGCACCTCTCGTCAAACGTCACCTTCTTCCTTCTCCTCCTGCGACGGCTCGCATTAGAGCTAATCCGTCTCTGGCCTGGTTGGCCTGGGCCCTGTCCTTGTCCTTGGGACTGGGGTTGGGAGTGCGCGTGTGCATGCGAGGGAGAGTAGTTCGTCCGCGGGCCGTGTAGCCTGTAGCTTGTCAGCGCCGGCCGGCGCGGGGATGCATTAAGCGACGGATGATGTTTCGCCGGTGCAGGTTCGGGCGGAGGGAGTGGGAGGACCTGAGAGTCCGGAGTAGGGAGAGGAGGGGGCTCTCTCTGTTCCTGATGTTGGGGTTCTTTGGGGGGGAGAGGGGGGAGGTCGAGACTTTCCGGACTGGGGAGTTGGGTCTCTTTTCCCATCCCTTGTTCTCTTTCCATCTCCAGTTCTTGTTGCATATCCCTCTCCCTCTGCTGGTGCAACTCTTGCTCCTCCTCCAGCTCCGCACGTTCGTCCAGATGATACTCCTCGCCGAACCGCCTCTCGACGGGTAAGAACGGACTGCGAGTGACGTACTGCGCCTGACCGAGCTCTTGGAGTCCTCTCGACCTACGCGGTTTCTTCCCATTCCCATTCACGTTCCCGTTCGGATTCCCATTCGCAAACTGATGAAAAGGCACCCGTGGGGACGGGTCTTCATTCTCCATCTCCTCCACTCCTGGCATGCCGAACACGGGTGACAGCCCCGCGCCCGAGATCCCCAACCCTGAAGCGGAGGTCTTCCTCCCAGCAGGATCGAGCAGCACGTACCCGTAGGCGCTCTGCGGTCTAGGCTTGTACTTTGCGCCTTTTGGGGCTTGTTCAGGTGACTTGAAAGGTGAGTTCGAGACGAGGGAATGGGAGCGGAGATGTGAAAAGGATGCGGATGTGCGGCGGGAGGAGGTGCGTTCGACGGTGTTGTGGGAGGTGGGAGGCGAGGGCGTTTGAGAGTCGGTGGACGTTGGTGAAGGAGGCTTGGTGGGTGATGGTGAACGTTTTTGTATTCTGAGAGGTGACCAGCCTGTGTGGGATGAATGAAGTATTTGAGCTTTGGTTGGTGATTCCATTGTCGATATTCAAGTGGATGTTGTTCGATGAAGTTGTTGAAGTAGTTATTGAAGTAATTGTTAAAGTGAATGAAGTGTTAATGAACACTCATATAAGATGTTGATGAAAGTAAGAAGCAAAGGAGTAACAAGTGTTGACTTGACCCATTCGCCGTTCATAACACCACCAGAAGACATCAGAAGTTCGGATACAATTTCACATGACACAGCCACGAACGCGTCACCAAAACACGAAAGGGTAACAGTCACGTGAGTCACGTGAACAAATCTCATGAATGGCCTGTGCTGAGTATGGCCTTGTGAGCGTGGACTGATACACACGCTAAGGCCTACAAAGGATGGACTACAAAGGCGATCGATGGATGCTGGCTACTCCCAGTCGCTGAGTGCTCGCTGCTTCATCACTTACATCTACTTCACATCGATTAGCTATCTTGGGCGCTAGACTCCTGACTATCAAGTCGCAACTACTATCTAATCTCCCTGAGTCCTCTCTGATCTGCGCAATATTCCGCCCGATGTCCACCACCTACGCAGACCAATGGACCGTCTCCCACCTCCCAACCCCGCCTAGCGACCAGTCAACACCCCAACACCTCAGTTGGTCCCCCGTATTCCTCCCTCCAGGATACGCGACCTTTGACCATCTCTCGGGTTTCGAAGCGCTCGACGATGCTAGCTTCGACGTCTCTGGCGTGGAAGGGCTGGGGATGTCCGACGGTCTCGACAATACCCAAGTGTTCGAGGGGTTCACCTATCTCCCCCATCCTCCGAACAGCTCACACTTCCCTGTCAACCCCCCCGCTCATGAACCCTCTCAGCCCAGAGAGTCCGGCCGCCGGCCAGGCATCTCCCTCCCGCTCCCCACACCTCCCTCCCTCCGCCTCGCTCCTCCCGAACGCCTCCCCTCCTTCCCAGCGCGCTACCACACTCTCCACCTTCCCCCCGCACAACGGCCCTTCTCCCTGCAGCGCTCTCTCTTCCTCCACCCATCACTGCGCAATATCTGGGTTTCCGGGCCCACTCTCTCCCCCCACCCCCCACCAGAGGAGGAAGAGGGAGAAACAGACCTCTACCTCCCCTCTCTTAAGCTCCGCCAGCTGCTCGAGGTGTTCCCCACTCTCGGCCCGGTGCTTATCACTGATCTGAGGAGGGTAGAGGCTTGGTACCTCTTAGCAGAACGAAGGTGGTTGGGGGGGAGGTATTGGCCCAATCCGGAGAGGGAGATCTGGAGGGAGGTCAAGTCCAGTCAGGGAGCTAGTGGGGAGCATCAGCTTCCTACTTTGGGTCTCCAATCTAGCTCAGGATTAGGGTTGGGGTTGGATTTGGGATTGACGTCGGGCTCGGGGTCGGACGCAGGAGGGAGCAAGCCTGAAAGTGCAGATGCGGCATACGACCCCCGCCCAACGCACAGATTCACAGCTTCGCAATTCGATTTCCTGCGCACGCTCGGTACAGGCCCATTTTCCCGTGTCATACTCGGTACGCCCTCACAGCTTAGCTTGCGCTTGACCACTCTCACCCATTCCTGTTCTCGTCTTCTGCAGCGCGCGACCGGCAACCGCATATGGGTTTACGCAGACTCTACGCAATCAAAGTCATCTCCAAATCCCTTCTCTCCGATCCGCAACATATCCGGCAAACCAACACCGAGCGGGCCCTGCACCTCTCCGCCTCGCACATCAATGCCTCGTCGTACGACGCATCCTTCGAAGGCCGCTCGCCTTTCATCGTCTTCCTCCACGGCACGTGGCAGGACTCCGCCCACCTGTATCTGGTGATGGACTATATCCAGGGCGGAGACCTATATACTGCGTTGAGAGCGAAAGCCCGGTTCCCGGTAAGCGTAGCGCGGTTCTATGCTGCGGAAATCGTGCTCGCACTAGGCTTTCTCCACAGGATGGACATCATCTTCCGGGACCTCAAGCCCGAGGTACCCATCCTTCCCTTTCCCTTCCTGCTGTGCATCGCTCACCCGCGCCCGCACTAGAACATCCTCATCACCCCCTCAGGACACGTCAAGCTCACCGATTTCGGGTTCGCAAAGTACGTTGCAGACGCGACGTTCACCCTCTGCGGTACCTGTGTCTACCTAGCACCAGAACTGATCAAGCTGGAACCATATACAAAGTCCGTCGACTGGTACACTCTCGGGATCATAGTGTATGAGATGCTTGTCGGCCACCCGCCTTTCGAGCAGGGGAACATTCTTGCGCTGTATCAGCTTATCGACGCGCACCGGGTGACCTTCCCTAGAGAGTATATGGGAGACCAAGAGATCGATTTCCTGCGGCGGACGATGACGCCCGACATTTCCAGCAGATATGGGCACAACGTCCCCGCTCTCGATCCGTGTACTGGCCAGCCTATACTAGGCATGTCTAGCTTGGTGGGGGACGACTCCCTTCCCGATGGGACGGAGGAAGTGATGCGAGACCCGTTTTTTGAGGGCGTTTGTTGGCCGATATTGGAGGGGAGTGCGGGGGGGTACTTTGGCCCAAGGGGGGGAGTACGCGTGCCTTGGATCCCGGAAAGGGAGATGTACGCCGGCCGTTCCCGCCTTTTCCCGCCCTCATGCGCTAACACCGCACACAGGAACTTTCAAGAATACGACGAGATCGATTTTGGAAGGTATAACCAAGCTGCCTATCCTCTCGGACACCGGTCTGGCTTATTCCCGGATTTCTAGTTGGCTCTGGCTCTGAGGGGGTTTACAGGAGCAAGAGCCTGATGTTAAGGGCTCTGTCTACTGTAAGATGTGCTTACTGTACCGTTACCGCAAACAGAATGAATGAATTCCTCTGTGCACATTTGTTGCTCAGGTTTAAGGCACTGTCCATTGTTTGCAGAAGGGAGGAGTCATCAACAGATTCAAACATTTCCTAGTCACGAAACGGCATCGACGACATGCCACCCGGCTCCAGTAAGCCATCCAGCGCTCCCGCTCCGCATCCTGCTGTCTCAGCGGTATCATCTCTCTGTACATGTGTTCGACTCCGAGCAGCCGCCTTGCTCATTTCGAGATTGGGCATGCCAGCTCCTTCAGGCAGATAGATATCAAACCCGAAGCGTTTCGTTCACTTCTTCTTTGTGTAATGTAACGGCATGTCCCGACAGACGCCGGCTTGATCCCCCGGTTGCGTTCCACCTGTTTCGGGTCATCCGCGGCAGTTTCAAGCTTGGAGAGCCATGCGGACGGGAACCAACTTGCAGCCAATCCTTCGCGATCGGGGCGAGGAGAGGATCCCAAACTACTGGTGTCGGGTGGACAAGGTGCAGATACTCGCAATTCCCGTTTCCGAGAGGCAGCAAATGGTGAATACCATCAATGATCTGTCAACCATGCTGTGAGAAACGGATGTGGGATTGATCCGAAACGAAACATACCGACAGAGCGGCTTGTCTGTTGGCCAGCAGCATCATTTCTCCAGATACTTTTTCCGCACCGGCCGATGTGTCGGGAAGACTTGGCCGTACTGAGCGATCATCGCTGACATCAGATGAATGACCTTTGCGCAAACATCTTCCTCCTCAGTATTAGGCTGCTCCGCAATACCACCAAGTGTCTTGATCATGTATCCAGTGAGTCGCTTAACAGTAGGGTACCAGAAACCCAAGTTCTGAGGAACCGATACCTCCGTAATGTTGCAATCACCCTGGGGTCTTGGAGCCAGGCGAAGCACCTAAGCGATCGCAGCACGAATATAGGTTGCTTGCAAACTGTCACAGAGCTTAAATCTGTCCACATTACATCTGTACAGGACTACCTGTCGCTGCCCTGTTCGAACAAGTCACGGGACTCCTTGACAGGCGAATAGACCGGCGCCTTACTGCGCCTTACTCCATTCACCACGCGAACAATGAATCCCAGTGATGGCGCATCCCAGCCTTCAGGAGGGATTGCCCATTAAGCTTTCCTACCAAGCTGTTCGGCGGCAGCGTAAAGGGCGTCGATCTCGTCAGCAAGCCTATCAAAGTTTGAGAATGGCTACAGTCCCTTCAGCTACGGACTCACTGTTGGAGAGTAGAGTTCCTGTTAATGGACCCCTTCGGCGTCCTAGTAAATGAGCTTCCTTTGGGATCAATAACGAGGATAAGCTCCTTGAAAATCCTGGAGTGCTGGGGTGCGATTGTATTTGCCTTCTCAACATCGGGCCAAATCAGATTGCGGAACTCCGCAAGACTTTCATCATTGGTGATGCTGCAGATGTGCCCTGCTGGCTCGATGGCGACACCAACCTGAAATCGTCCACTACCAAACATCATAGAGGCTCTGATGTGAGGATTTCCATTCAAAATACTCTCTATATCTGGTGAAATCGGAACTCAAAACCAATGATCAAGACTTACCCATGGGGCTGGGGTTGGTCTTCTCTCTGTTGGACATAACTATCAGGTCATCCACACTGCAGATCAATCAGAACTATGACAAAAGGCATGACCTGAAACATACCGTCCCATGGTCTTCCACAGGTGACGTCTTGTGGGATGTTGTTCCAGCAAATCTTTCGTGTCGAATGCACTGACGTTTGTTTGGTTCGAGATAGCGATTGGATGATTATCCGTGTCCTGTATACAAGTCCTTAGAATTCCTGAGAATGTCCTTGTGCTTCGACATACTATGACAATTAGCCTGTAGAGGTTATCGCCTTCTGGAACAAACTCTGCCCGTAGGGAAGGGTGCAATTCGCTGTACTAGCAGCCAGTTGTGAGTATCGGCAAATACATTGCGATGAAATGAACGTACACTCCAGTCTTCAGGATGGTCAACGTCAAATTTCAAAGCGAAAATCTGAGCTACTTCGGTCCTGGTCTTCCGTTATCAGGGGTGTCAATCTGTCCTCAATAATGGACCTTACATGCCGTACACACTGATGACTTTCACACCCTCTCGTACGAGACGGTCACCAACATCTGCAGCAAGTGGACCACCGCCGTACATCTGACGTATGATGAATTCCAACCCACTTGAATCTCAGAGGCATAGAGAAGGCCGCACCAGGCTCTTGAGTGTGGTGAGATACTTTACTGATTCCTGGTGATGTGACCATTCCTGTGGTGTCTAAGTACATTTCCACCCACCACAGCTTCAGAGAGGAACAATACTCACAGCGCAATAGCTGGGTGCTGCCAAAAGATAGTCAGCTCTGCCACGTTGACTTCCTCTCAGAACTACTTCAGGAGAAGGAATAACATGTCCGCTTGATGGCTTGAACATGACGTTAGTCGTTCCATCTATGAGACACTTTAGTCCGATAGTACTATTGGGTGTAAATCAGCCGAGACATACACGTGGCGGGAAGCCCAACCATTACGAAGATCCCCATAGCATGGAAGACGGGAAGACCCAGAAGACAGCATCTTGTTGCAGTCACAGAATTTCCGTGGGACCTGAAAGCAAAGTTGAGAAATCGGTGAGTCATAGGTATCGCTTTATGGAATCCAGTGCTTCCAGAAGAGTGGAGAATCATAAGAACATTCTGGTTCGTCATATCCTTGTACTCTGGAAACGATTCGACTGAGGGAAGTTTCGGGGTATGAATAGCGTCGTGCTCCGCATCGTATGGCGGAATGGGGCTCATGCTGAGCCTTGGATACAGGTCTGCGTACCCGGGAAATTCCAAGAGCTGGAGCGTAGGAACATGAGCCAGAAGTGTCGCAGTAGTCTCTTCGAGAGACGTAGGTGCAGATCCAGGGGCAGCAATGGATCCAATTACATAGGCCGTGTTGGTCGTCTGGATCAAGTGCTCCAGGGCTGGGGCCGCGGAGTTCCGCGTGCTGAGGGGAAAGGCCTAATTCAGACAAATCAGTTATGAACGTTTCTTCCATTTGATGATGTCGACACACCACAAAGCCAGCCCGGAAAACTGAAAAAATGAGGGTAACATAGGTGAGAGTATCTGTATTTGCCAGTATTGCAATACGAACACCCTCTCTCCTCTGCTCATCTGATACCTTCACCAGCGTTCGGAGCTTCGCGGCCAGTCTGAAGGATGCACGGGCGACTAACGAGAAGAATCGGTCAATTCTTGGTCAGTGAGTTCAAATTGGGGTTCTCACCTTCAGCCCAAGTGACAGTCACGTTCTCGTCCGGATCGTCGTCCAAGCTAACAAGAACCGCATAAGGATAGTCCGGATTGTTTTCGAGATGAAAGTCGAGTAATTGAGGAAATGCGATAGAGCCATCGGATGGAGGAAGGACAAATGACGTCAAATTCGTCGAGCTTGCGGTGCAGGGTGACTGGAGGGTGTCGCACGCATCCATGACGTCGAACAGACGTGTTGGCACATTATGGTTACTCAGGAGAACCATGCTGGTGTGTACTAAAAGGTTATTATCTCCAACAGCTTTATATTCGTCGAGTACACTGCTGGTCGCTATTCGGACGGCGAGTAACTGCTGCTGTCCTGTCTCAGCAGATCCCATCAACTCTCATCGTCACGTAGTACAATATAGTCACTCACAGAATGGTCATGAATCTCACTTGCCTCGCAATCATTGTCAGGAGAGAAGTGGATAGGAGCAGCTCAAACTGAGACGACCGTGCAAGTCCACTACTGCCGCAATGCCAAGATACCAAACCTCCAGAGGCGATATTCGGCTACCTACCTTCCGCTCATAAGCATGATCCCCAGCCAGGCGAAGATCCCAGGTTCTCAATAATTCAGTGCGATGTTCTTGCCCGCTGCATGGAGTAGATTTTCCCGACAGCTTGTGGAAGATCGAAATCATGAACCTAACAAGATGATTAGTTAACGGAAACGACCAACTTCGGAAGAATCGGGCTCTACAAGAAGTTTACCACGTTTGGGTTCCACGTTATCCACTTACGGTACTTGTTCAAGAAGGCTTATATACAACCAACGTGATTCACATAGTCCAGTTTTGGGATCGAGGGCCGCGGTTTCTTTAAAATCACAGAGAGCAGGGATAACAAACAACCTACTATTGGTAGCCGATCCACGAGTCCATCAGAGCAGGACAAAGCAACAACTGAAATCAAATAAGAAATCCCCGAGCCCTCCAATAGCGACACCATCTTTCCACGTCTTCCTTTCCCAGGGGCTCCAGTCCATCCAGGATGACGCTGCTTGCTCGGGCCTTGACACACTCCAGATCCGGGATGTTCATGGCTTCCCTCTTCGTCCCGCTCTGTTGGGCCCGAGCCGCTCCAGTGGCAACCAGTCGATAAAAGTCGAGCAGTTTGATAGCGGGGTTGTGTTTGACCTGCGTACTGTCCTCCGCAGCTGCTGCCAGTTGGCTGAACCATTCTGCGAAGGGAACGAGCCGAGCACATAACTTGTCGGCAATTGGCTTCATAATATGATCCCACTCGATAGGGTTAGGGTGGCCAAGATGCAGACACTGGCATTCGGCCTTCTGCCCGAAGGTCGAGCTATGCAAGACGTCCAAAATCTGAATCACAGGGGTAAAGGGAACGTCTTGGTTGCATTCGGGTGACGTACCGACTGCGCAGCCTTATCGATAGGTACCCAGCTGACGTGCCCCGGAAGGGCAGGAAGGACACCAAGTCTTTCCGCGGTCTTGACGATCAGAGGAAACCAGCCCGCCGTATCCCAAGCGCCATTCTGTACCGAGCCGGAAAGTTGTCCTAGTCGGAGGATCGTCCCTCTGAGACCACGTCGCTCCACAGCAGCAGTAACGATCTGCTCCGCAACCCATTTGCTTTCCGAGTAGCCGTTGGCGATCGCTAGCGTAGGATCCGACATAATCATTTCCGGTACAGGCCGTAATTGTGGCCAACGTATTACCGATGTAACGGATGATGTAAATATGATGTGTGCGGGGGTAGGTTGCTTGACACTAAGCGCCAGATCTATCAGCCATCGCAGGAACAGCATGCTCGGTTCAAAGGCTGATAAGGGGGAATTGAAGTCCATATGCCACGCGTTGTGGATGATAGTATATAATGAGGCAGAAATCTGGCGCATATCAGTAGTGCGACTGCCCTCGGGTGCAGAACCACATACCTCATCGTACAAATCCTCAGCTAGCGGGAAATTCCCATGATCAACATCCATATCAACAAACCGCAGCTTTTCAGATCGCAAGAGCGCAAGGTCAACCCCTTTGTCCACAAACGAGGCACGCTGTCGCAAGCGGATGTCCCTGTCCAGTCTGCGGTCAAGACGGTTCACAGCATACACTCGCTCAACACGTTTGTCAAGCAACAGATCTTGCAGTAAGTAGGTTCCCAGTGACCCGGTCGAGCCCGTTAGGAGGACGACTTCCCCAGAAGAAGAGTCTGCTGGTGCGTGTACGGGAAAATCCCGGGTATGGCGTTCGACCATCGCATCCATGGCTTTCACACGAACTGCGGTCTCGTCCTCCAGGGGAGGGTCGTCACCATGTGCAACTATGTTCATAAGGTAGTCGACAAGGAGGTCGACAGTTGGGTAGTTGTATACCAGGTTCTGGGGTATACGTTCCAATGCGGCAGGATCGTTCCGGAACGCCGGCGTTCCGCGCAAAGCCTGCACGAGAGCAGCGCGAATGTGTATCGCTTGCAGGCTACCGGCCATAAGTCAGTCGATCAACACATCCAACCAGGGATATACACCCACCTATCACACCCCTGATCGAAGAGGTCGCGCGAGTCATCAAGTGAATCTCGTCCGCCTTTAGCGACACCGCGAACGAAGGAACGCAATCCTCCCCTGTCCCAAGTGGAAGGGAGCTCCCATTCCGCAGAGGCCGAGTTGACCATTTCATATATCCCATTTATCTCCTGCATGAACCTGCCGAAAGTCAGATTCAATCGCGAACGAATGAGTCGTGGCGCACTGCTGTTGCGCCAGTTTTCGTGAGACAGTACCTTTCGACGTCGTCGGGAGCCGTTTCTTCTTTGGGTCGATAACCAAGATCAATCGCTGGAAAATCCTTGAATGTTTAGGTGAGACGGCGTTCGCACGTTCGATATCTGGCCAAACTAAATCCCGGAATGCTGAATAGTCCTTTTCGTCGAGTAGCTTGATACTCTCTATGGGCTGGATAGCGATCCCGACCTGGGCCCGTCCTTGGCCGAACATGAAGCTGTGTTTGACATGAGGGTTGGCAACGATGATATCCTCTTCCCCGGCTCAGCTTGAATGCGTAGCAGAGATGGGGGCACATACCCATCGGCCCGGGGTTCGTCTTCTCCCCATTGGACAAGACGATCTCGTCATCTGCCCTAGTCAGTATCAGGAAGAGCATTGATCAAAGTGGGATCCTATCATACCGCCCAACAATCCTCCATAAGCCTTTCCGGGTAGGATGTTCCTCCAGCAAGTCACTCGTGTCGAATGCGTTTCCAGGTCGATTAGAGACGGCAATCGGATGGCTGTCACTGTCCTGGAAACGATCGATCCTGTTGCTCAGATACAATGGCCGTGAGCAATGGATGGACATACATGAATGATTAGACGAAACAACCCATTCTCTTCTGGGACAAGTTCAGCCTGCAAAGTCGAGTATAGCTGTCCGTACTAGGCGGCGCGTCAGCAACCCTACGAGAAGATGAGAAGGAAAGCTTACATTCCAATCCCGCGGCTGGTATTCCCGCATGCCTAACTTGAAGATCAGCCCCGCCTCTGTTCTAAGCACCTCGTGAGTACCAGTGGCCGGACCAGGGGAAGGGGACGAACGAGCCATATTCGATCGACAGCCTCACTCCTTCTTTTACCAATCGATCGCCTACCACCTGCGGCAGTGGGCCGCCGCCGTATAGCTGTCACAGTGTTACCGTAGTTAGAGGTAGCAAAGCATCGGAGGGAGGGACGCACCACGCCTTTCATCGTCGCTAGATACTTGATTGAATCAGGATCACGAGCCCAGTCCTACCTTGATCAACAATTGAGAACAGGAATTGTCAAGTGCTTACGATACACGAGCTCGGCACGGCAAGGAGGTAATCCGCTTTCCCCCGTTTGCAGGCCTCGATGATATTTTCCGATGTTGGCATGATCCGCGGAGTAGAGGGCTTGAACATGACCGATACGCTGCCGGCTAGACTCGTCAATCATCTGTGCTGGAACGTTGGGGGGGGGGGGCTTACAAGCAGCCGCAGCGCCAAGCATCAGACATACGCCCATTCCGTGAAACGCCGGCAAACCCATGACGCCCCACCTCGAGCCAGGCATGTCGAACCCGCCCGTGGCCGCATCCCTGCATTCCCCAATCCAGTGCCGGTGACTGAACGGGATCGGTTTGGGGAGGTTAGTACTGCCAGACGAGTGGAGAAAGAAGGCCGGGTCTTGGAGGGTAGCTGGGCGGGGATGGGAGTGGAGAGGCTCGATGAGAGGGGTTAGGAGTGCGTCGGCTTTCGGATCGTACGGCAGAACGGGGTGCATGCGGAGTCGGGGATAGAGGTCAGCACAGGAGGGCACGTCTATCAGCTGGAGCGAAGGGGACAAGTCAAGCAGGGAGCTGGTGACGTCTTTCAAGGTGCTAGGTCTTGCTCCGCATACATCCCGAGATCCAAACAAGTAGCGACAAGATGTCTGCAGAATAGGATGTTCAAGAGCAGGCAGCGAGTTCCCAGTGCTCATGGGAAAGGCCTGCCAATCAATCTTTCAACAAAACCGGACGACGAGACCTAAACGGAGCGTACCACAAAGCCAGCTCGGACGATCGCGAGTACCATAGTGCAATAGGTGATGCTGTCCGTCTCTGCTAGTATGCCGATTACGACTCTGTCTTCCCCAACCGGTTTGACCAGTTCTAGGAGGTTGGCAGCAAGACGGAACGCCGCACGAGCCACTATGCACTCCGTTAGATTGGTCTCTTAGCTACAGTCTGGGGTTGCGCACCTTCACTCCAGGAGACGACAACTTCCTCTTTGTCGTCCTCTTTCACTCCGACCAGGACGGCGAAAGGATGGTCGGGATTATGCTCCAGGTGGTAGTCGACCCATCCAGGAAAGAGGAGTGTATCGTCCAGAGGAGGTTGGACGAACGCGTTGTCAACACCGGCGGTAGGCTTAGGGGAATCTTGAGACACAGGCATCCTATATGCGGGCTTTCAGGTAGTGGTTGTGCGGTCGAGGGAGAGATAGTTGGACGATGTCGCCAATCCTGTTAGAAGGATAGCATAGTCGAGAAGGCTGTAGCAATGCGCTCTGATTCTATCAGTCCGCATAAGGAAGCTCAATATAAGGCACACCTTCTCGCGAAGCTGCAGACAGCCTAGCCGGCTGTCACATGCTTCCAGTCTGGGAAGGCCGGAGGCGTGCCAGCGACGTTGAAAGGGGCGCAGCTCGGCGGAGTGGGGCAATTGACACTTCGAGCGTGCAAATACATACACGTACGGGGAGGGGGAAGAGTCAAACTGGATGCGTATTGGATCCAACACGGTCCACTATATATGCATCTCCCAACATGCGTTTGACTCAGCGGGAATCACGTGCATTCATTCTATGACGTCACAACGGTTCATTCCTCAACTCACACAACTACTACTATCATTTCCGCATGTCTTTCTCTCATGGCCAATGGTTGCTGCATATCATATCCCGCCTATCGACACTTTCACTGCTGATCGTCGATCCTCACTGAGCGTTATTGACTGCCCTCCTGTTCTCGATAACCCGCGTGCCTTTCCCGCATACATATATGCATACAAAGCACAGCACTCACTCAGCTGCAGTCGCCTTACTATATGTTGCAAGTTTCAGATTGCAGGGTGTTCATTATCCATATCAACACATCCTACCCATCCCCTCACCCTACCCCTAGCCAAAAGCAGCAGCAGCAGCAGTAGTAGTACGAGCCCCTCCCCCCGCCACCTGCTCATAACTCGGCGGTCTCTCACCCTCCACATCCTCCCTCCCCTCAACAAGTCTCTCAAACAACCTATTCCTCTCCGCCAGACTCTCCACCAAGCTAATCCCTCCTGCTCCAGATCCAGATCCGGACCCAGTAGGCGGGGAGTCCGCCCCTGCGGCCGCGTGCAGTGTTCCGGGAACGTGGGATTGCATTAGCCGCAGAACACTTTCGGGGACTTGGAGAGGCGTCGTTGATCCTGTTGTACGCTGTGGGCAGGCGCAGGAGGCCGAGGACGCAGGTACGGGCTGCAGGAGAGCATTGTACGTCGGCAACGAAGTATACTCCGGTGAACAACGGCACTTCCCCCAGTTAGCACACTCCACGCTCCCAAAACGCATTACTCACGTCAAAAAGGTTTATCGGCGTGTCAACCATTATATCCCATTTCTTGCTTCCCGCAGCATCCGTCCTCTCCACACGTATAACGATCTTAAGTGTATGCGCGACTTTCACCGCTGCCCCGCCCCGGTTGAGCTTGACAGTTCTATGGATGCCCATCTTACACGTGGGCAACTTGAACACTTCGTGTACCTGCCAGGGCCCGCCGAGCTGGAGCAGCGCACCCGCGTACTCGGAGATATCCTGCCCTGGAGGACAGAGGGAGAGGAGTTGCTGGATAGGCCCTGCGGCGGGGAGAAGGCTTGCCAGAGGGAAGAGAGGCACGTTCTTCCCTGCGGACTTGACGGATAGGAGGTCCCATTTCCGCGGGGCGTCGTACCTCGTCAACCGCTGTCCTCGGGAAAAGTAGTCGACCTTCTCTGCGAGACAAACATGAGCAAATATGACCCGAGACTGGACAGGGAGGAAGAACGCACGCTCAAGAGCGACAGACAGCCGGAATATCCGGATCTTATCCAGCGGCATCAGGGTCAAGTCGAACGCCAGCTCCCCGCCAACAAGGTTCGTCTTGTTATCCAAACCGATCACATATCTCAGGCTCTCCTCCCACTGCCGCTCGATATTCACCGTCTCCGGTTCCTCGTCGGGCGGGACGTCGATCACCTCCACTTCCTTCTCGCTCTGCAGCTTTGGAGAGAAAGTGCCAGAGCGGTGCACGACCCCGACGAGGTAGTACTTCACTGTCCCGAACTCGGTGTGCACTGTCGTAGGCGCAGGCGGAGGGAGGGGGAAGACAACGGGGTAGGTATACGTCCCCTTCCTGAACTCGCGCCACGTGTCCGCAGGAACGGGCTTCTCCCTGCTCCCAGGTCGCTCCCTCTCCCTCCCGCGCCGTTCTTCTTCCTCGTGCCCAGAGTGGGGGGTATACGCCCCCGCCCCTCCCCGCCCATAATAGTGCACCCCACCGGCGTGCGGGTGCCCCACATCGCTCCCCCTCCTCTCTCTGCTCGTCTCCCGTCCCCGAGGACCGGGCTCCACAAACCCCTCCTCCGCGCTCGGGCGTACGGGAGGTCGCTGCTGGTCCGTACTCCCTCTCCTGGAACTCGTCGGCGGCCTGCTAGGACCCGGCGAGCCCGATCCCGATCCAGAGTGGGCATGTCCCACCCCTGGAGGCAGGTGATACCCCTCCCCCGAAAGGCCGTTCGGAGCTTGCACCGCCGGATGCACGGGCTCACGCGGGCGAGAAGGCGTACGAAACATATTCTTCACTCCTTCTACGACGCCTCTCACTCTGCTCCTGCTCCTGCTCCTCTCTTCCTCTCGTTCGGGATCAGAGCCCCTCACGCTGGGCGCTGGAGAGCTTGCGTGTTCCCCCGCCGCAGGACCCGGAAGGGCCGAGCTCACAGTAGCAAGATTCTGCGCACTCGGGGTCGGCGAGGGGAAATGCACACTATGGTGCGGACTCGGACTCGGGACAGGGCTCGTATGCGGCGGGGTATATGTCGTACCGCTCGGCCCAGCACTAGGGGAAACGAGGGCGGAGGAAGGTGGGGAATCTGTAAACACTGGCGCAGGGCGAGGCTCGTCCCTCGAGTTCCTGCGAATGAGGTTCTGTAGCGCTCCCTGAGAGACTCGGCGAGCGAATGTGACTCTGTGCTTTGGCGTTCCTGGGGTTCCTGCAAGTGGAGGGGGAGCAGTGACTGTGCTCGTGCTCGCGTGCCGGGAGGGACGGGGGTGCATGGCTTCCATCTCGTACTCGTCGTCGCTGCTCTCTGCTCCTGCGCTCGCGTCCCCATGCCCGGAGACGTCGGACGCGCTGGGACCTTCGTGTACTGGGGTAGGGACGCCGGTGAGGTTCGTACTAGGCGACAAGGGGCCGCGGATCGAAGGAGCAGAATGCTGCGAGGGGAGGGAGGCGCTGCTTGATCTTGGTGAGCCTAGCGGAGGGCGCAGGGCTTCGAGGAGAGGTTCTGAAGCTGGTTCGGGCGCAGGAGGGAGCGTGTTGTTCGTCGTGGTGGTGGACAAGGCTGTTCTAGCAAGACCCAGCGAGCTGCCGAGGGACAATTCAGCTGCGCTCCCGATAGTCGAAGAGGGACTCGAGTCCTGCCGGCCGAGGATACCCCTGATAGGGGAGAGGGACGTTCCAGCTCTGACGGCGCTACCCGACCCTCCTCTGCTCCCACTCCCACTCCCACTTCCGCTCCCGTTGAGTTCTCCCCTGCTCCCCGTCCTGCCACGGGAACGCGACCCGCTCCTGCTCTCCCCAGAACTGGCGATCGGGCTCAACCCCTCCCCTCCCTCCCTGTCGGCACTCGCATTCCTCGCATAGGGCGGCGGGCCAGCAGGGTACGGATGGTCCACTGCAGGCTCGTGTTCCGCCCCGAGCATGCTCGCGTACCCCCTCCCGATCCCTCGGGCAGTACTCATCGCCCTCTGCTGCGGACCCCGCTCTTCCCTCACCGTTGCCTCCGCGTGCCCATTCCCATTCCCATTCCCATTAGCATGCGCATGATGTTCCCTCGCCTCGTCCGAATGGTCAGAATATGAGTCCCGCATCTCGTCCAGATGCAGCCCAGGGCCGACAGACAACGCCCTCCGCGCAGGGAGCACGGTCGTCTCTTCCCCCGACAGGGCAGAGGCGTCGAAGAATACGATACGCTGTGATCGGATGATGTGATCTTCTACGATCTCCATACGGCGTACACCTATGCCTGTATGACGTCAGACGGTTCGTTTTATCCTTATCGCAACACATCTCCTGTGCTGGAAAGGACGTACCTTCGGGCCAGATGACGCTCGTCCGGGTTTCTAATCGCACTTCGATACTCTTTATCCTGCTCGCTCTGCGTAGGTTGAGCGACAAGAGCCCGCGTACCATCGCTGGCTGTGTGGCGAGTGCATTGGGTCCTGCTGTACCGCGGAGGAAGATGACGGGCTCTGTGAGACGAAGTGAGAGGGATGACTTGGAGGTCATTGGTGATTTGTTGATATTAGGGAAGTGGGTGCATGCAGGAGATGTTTATCCAGATAAGAGGTTGTCGTTAGTCAAGCACAAGTAAGGATGAACACTCTAGAGGTATCAAGTGAAGGACAATAAGATGGTGATCGTGGTGCAAAGGCAGCCGTTGAACCCCTAGGCACACCCTTGTCCGGTGTAGAAGGGGACTGTGTGAAAGGGAAAGTGCTGAAAGGCTGATTGATGTGAGCCCTGATCGGCGCTTAGCACATGCCCATGTGTACAGTGGGCGCTCCGCTAAGCTCGATTTGGCAATCCGCTCCGACGATCCGGGGACCCCGGAGGCTCAAATACCGTGTTCTTGGGAATCAAAGTTCCCGGATATTCTCCCGTCCTCTGGTGGTATCGTCTGATCGTGCCTCTCCTTGCTGAGAAAGTTAAATTTAGCCTCTTGAGTCCTTTAGACACGGCAATACAACGGACAGAGGAGCGTCACGTGCGAAATACAGGAAGGTTCTGTCTATTTTCGCGCTGCTTTAGGGGTCCTTCACGTGTGCAAGTGTGATGAAAGAGAAAGGCTAGCCTCGGATCGCACGATCGACCCTCGTACGACCCAACCGTGCGCATTCAACAAAAACTTACCTGAAAATTAATAATACTGAAATAGTCTTATTCATTGCAATTAATTGCTGCCTTGTACAAAGTGCTCATGCATCCTTGTTGCCGGCAACTAAATTTGATGATCCGAGACGATGCTCCGGGGATCCGCCGGCCGGAACTTGGATATCCTCGGTTTAGACCTGGAGCCGGAGGACGAAGTCTTCTTTGGTGGAGAGTTCTAGAACGGCCGGAAGCTGTAGGGAATGGGCGCTTAGATTCGACTGCTTTGGGATACTTGATGTTAGCGTACGACCGGTCATGGGTTGTTAATTGTTAATCGTACGGCTTGTTTGAATGTATCCAGATGGTAGATGGACGGTTGCCCGAAAACGCCAGAGCTTAGTGAGCGAAGGCCGGACGGTATACCACTCGGGCACGCATCGACGCCCCTTCCTCCTCCCAAATCTCCCAAATCAGATAACCCCAAGACTTCCCCTCCAAACTAATTAAAGGCCCCTTCATCTTTATCTCGTAGCCACAAACCACGGCGACCATGGGTGTGAGGGTTCCTTATCTCCGAACGGGATGACGCTGTCTTCCTCCGGTGTTGCTGTCGGGGCTTATCGGCTTGCCTGGGAAGAACGCGGGAATTGGCAAAAGGGGCGGACGACCTCATCAGTCGACGGTTACAGTACTCCTCCTTCGTCTCCTCCTCCTCCTTCCGAGTGGATATATGCTGTTATATCCTTCTGCATAGACTTACAATACTTAGATCTTTACTTGTTCTGCCCTAGAAGCTGCACTCGACTCGATTAGACTCAATTCGATTCAACTCGATTCCCTAATCACCTTGCCTGAATCTAACAGCACGCGACCGCGACCCGAACCTACAACGATGTCCTTCCCCTCCTCTCACGGTCCCCGACTTCCCCTCGAACTGCTGCTATACCACATTGTCGACATCCTCTCGCTCCCTCCTCATCCTCTCTCCTACCTTCTCCCAAAGGACCAACAACATGCGCTCATCACCTTGTCTCTCACCTGTCACCGGCTTCACACCTACTGCATGCCCTTACTCTACTCCCGAATATGCATCGAGTCCGCCCAACGACTCCGGAGACTCCGACGGGCTCGACCCGCCGACCTGGGGAAGATCACCGCCCTCTTCCTAGACTTCGAGCACCTGGAGGACGAAGTTCTCCTCCCCATCCCAGCGCAAGACGCGGACATCGTCGGCAATTCCTATCGCACATTCGCTGGGTTCTCATCTCGCGCTGCATTGTACTACGAAGTATCTGAACAACTGTCGTTTCTCATCAGCGCCTGCCGCCCTTCGCTCCAGAGACTGGCATTCGGTTCCCGTGGCAGGCCCCACCCGCCATGGGTAAGCATGGACCCGATGGAAGAGCGCGCAGTGGAACACTTTGCCTCCCAAGCGAACTACGCGATCGCTTCCACCCTCCCTGGGCTGCGGGAACTCATCTGCGTCAGGCAGAATATGGAGATTGGGGACTATCTCGGGTTGGGGAGGAGCGGAGGGCAGCGAAGATGGGAAAAGCTGGAGAGACTGGCAGTGTACGGTACCCTCAGCTACAACGCACACGATGCCCCGCCGATCCTGCCTGCGCTGGAATGCTTTTGCGCCTTGCACCCGTTTCCCTCACTCGCACTTCTCTCGCAGGCAGTGACGACAAGCCCGAACCTGCGCGAACTGAGTCTGTTCAACGTCGCCATCCCTGTTTCGGAGCAGACGCCGAGCGTGCGGAGCGCATATACGGACCTGGATCGGATTTTAGAAGCACTGGGAACTGTAGGGCCTGCCAAGGCGACGCAATTGCCTGTAGTGAGCAACGCTGGCGCAGCAGGAACGCGCACCCTACGCTCCGAAGCAGACCACGAAGCGGACACGTTCACCCCTCCTGCTCCTTCACCTTCCGCCAGCACTGACGAGAAACCAGAAACACCCCACAGGAAACAACCGGTGCACGTGACTCGACTCTCCCTTCCCCCGGTGTATGACCCCCACCGGCCGGAGGACAGGAGGGAGCGGACGAGCTTGGCGGCGCGCTTGGGGAGGGAGGGGCTGCTTTGGAGCTGGAGGGGAGAGGAGTCGGGCGCGGGGTTTGAGGGTGTGGGTGTGGGTGTGGGTTCGGAAGCGAGGGTTATGTGAATGGATCTATATTGTGGTATTTTATTGTTTATTGTTGTTTGCTGTTGTTATTTCTTCGAGGTTCGTTTGGTTTCGATAGATCAGTAGTATTACGGTTCTGACTGCTGCGGAGATCTTTACAGTCGCGTGAATAGATCTATAGCCGGTCGTGTATTTGCTTATTAAGCTAATCATTGCCATTTCTTGAGGACTCATTCGATTTCGGTGGATCAGTCGCACATTCTGGTTGTACGTAACCACGGTAGAATCCTCCTATGGTTCGGGAATTCTGATGACTAAGCTACAAGGGGTTCATGCCGGTGTTCGTGTTCATCTCCGGTTCCATGACGGACGTACGCCGCTCTCCAATGATCCTTGGCCACATAGTATACTGCTCTCCTATGGACATCCACCCCGGGTAATGCTTCCTACTCCACGCTAACCCTCGGAGCAGGCGGACCTTCGCTCTGTGATCAGAACAACAGTCCTACAGCCAGCTCATGTCATACAGTACTTCAGGACAACCCTCGGGGAAGGCAGGATCATCCCTGTGCGATCAGAAGCAGTCCTACAGCCAGCTCGTGCCAGGACCGGCACCAATGCTGCGCTGTGGTCTTGCTTCAGAACACTGCCCGAGTGCCGTTCTGCATCTCATCTCCCTTCGTGCTATAAATAGCAAGAATACCGCGGGAATCTGGATCTCGACCCCGGGAGGTCGATTTCTGTCGCACGGAGCCTGATGCCTGATGCCTGATGTCTGATGTCTCCCAGCTAGTGGGATATAAAACCATGCTGTCCCAGGCATTCGACATGCCCCAACAACAAGACAAACCTTGTCGACCTGGTCTACCATGGGGGACGCAGCTGCATTCCCTGCTCAATACAAGATGATACAAGGCTCGAATCACCCGACCTGGCGCGCGCCGCCTCTGGACGGGTCGATGACCTTGCCCGAGATGCTGTGCTGGCACGGGCAACATAACCCCGCGCATCCGTTTGCCGTCCTGGCCCCCGATCACGAAGGAGAAGTAGAAGCCGTTATCACCTGGCACGAAGTCAGCGGAGCGATCTTTCGGCTGGCTGCGAAGTTGCGGGAAGACGTAAGCGATGGACTGATCGATGGCAAGCCGCCTGTGGTTGGCATCCTCGCTTTCCCAGAAACACTCACGTATGTTACTTGGGTATGTGCAATCGTCGCTGCGGGGTATGCGCCCTTCCCTCTCAGTCCACGAAACTCTTTTCCTGCGTTCGAACATCTTCTCAAGACGACCAACTGCCGGTACCTTATCGGTTCTCTCCCTAGTCCGGACAAACCGGCTTCGGCGTTGCAGCAGATAGCGGTTCAGTTGGTGGAGCATATCCCAGGATTGGGGATCATCGAAGCGCCGAAATTCGACGTGCTCTACCCTCGGCTGGCAAGTTGGCCTCCCGCTGCATATGGATCCGCCGCCGATGTCCTGCCGACCTTCAAGCCCTCACCCAGTGGGCGCGATGCCCCGCTTATGATAATTCACTCCTCCGGGTCCACCTCCTTCCCGAAGCCGATCCCGCTCTCCGATGCCGCGTTCAGCAACTGGGGAAGGTCGCCTTGGTACCAGGACGACGACTTTTGTGGTACGAGGTGGGGGATCATGTCCATGCCGATGTTTCATATTGCCGGGCTGGCATTTGGACTAGGGTGGACTGTTTGCAGTACGCATCGTTCTACCTCGTACTAGATGAAGCGGGACTGACAGCGGATTGAGGCGGGACAACTGCGGTCTTCTTCAAGCCACAAGAGACACCAGCGATGCCCACGCCAGGAACGGTCTTGCGCGCAGCCAGACTGGGCAAGGCAGACTACATATTCACCGTTCCCAGCATCTGTGTCGAATGGGCTCAAGACGCGGAGGCAGTCGCATTCCTCTCGACTCTCAAGGCGGTGGTAAGTAGTTTCAAACTAGTCTGGTCTGTAACCTGATTGAGCGCCCAGAGATTCGGCGGTGGTCCGCTTCCCGAAGAGCCTGGGCATCGCCTAGTGGAAGGCGGAGTCAAGCTCCAAACTGCCTATGGCATGACGGAAACTGGTCCTGTATTCCGAGCAGACTCGGTAACCATGCTAGGAGGGAAGGAGTGGATGGTAAGTTGTTGTTATTCCTTCACGCAGCAGACTGACGAGTTGTATCGTAGTATGCTCCCTTCATGCCCCATCTTGGCGTCAAATTGATTGATGAAGGAAACAATGCGTACCGGCTCGTTCTCATGGTTCGTCCGTTACCATTCGGCGTTGTACATCATTAACTGCCGAGCAGGAAACCAGTAATTTCCACGTAGCTGTATCCAATTTCGACGCAGAAGTACGCGCGTTCGACACCAATGACTTGTTGGAACCGCATCCCACACGTGCCGGGTACTGGAAGGTTATCGGACGGTAAGAGTCTCAAACTTCCATCTACGGGTGACTTTCTCATTAAGACGTCAGTGCGGACGATCAAATCATGATGTCGAATGGGGAGAAGACGAACCCTGGTCCCCTCGAGTCGATCATCGTGAGCAGCCCACACATAAACGCGGCGATCATGTTCGGGAGGGCTCGCACGCAAGCCGGCGTATTAGTCGAGCCCCGTGACCCCATCAACATTCACGACGAGAACGAAATAGCCAAGTTCCGAAATTCCGTATGGGACGATATCCACAAAGCTAACACGTTCGCACCCCAGCATTCACGGATTTTCAAAGAGTTCATCCTTGTCTCTGATCCGGTGCAGAAGCCTTTGTTGCGGACTCCGAAGGGTACCATCGCTAGGAACGCATCGTTGCAGTTGTACGCCGACGACATCGAGCGCATATATGAAGCTGCCGCTCGGCCTACGCAAGAAGAATGGGCCCAGCCTCCTGATTCGTGGGACGATATCGGCATCCATCAATTTGTAGTCCGCGTCGTCAACGGAGTTATGCGCGGCGATCATGCAAACGCATCTGAAGTGAATGAGACTCGCGATCTGTTTGAACAAGGATGTGACAGGTATGTGGTAGCTCGAGTTACACACAGTCCGGAATGATATCTGACGAGACTACAAGTCTGCAAGCAACGTACATTCGAGCAGCGATTGCAAACGCTCTTCTGGAAGCACCCAGGTCGAATGGTGCGCGCAAGATCCCGACGGTCGCGGTGCCCCAGAATCTGGTCTTCCTTTATCCGTCGATCAGGAACCTGGCATCCTTCGTGCGGAATGCGATCACTGGAAATACAACGAATAGCAAAAATGCCCAGGAGGCGTCGTTGAAGCAAATGCTTGATATGGTCGAGCAGTACTCGAAGGATCTTCCCATTCACCACTCAACTGCCGGGGCCTCAGGCAGGCAAGAAGAAGTAGTGCTTCTCACCGGATCCACCGGAACTCTCGGCACATACATTCTTCAGCAACTCTTGGTGGATTCCCGTGTATCGCATGTGTACGCCCTCAATCGTCCCAGTGTCAGCATGGATGTTCGGAGCAGGCAACGTGTTTCGTTCGAGGATAGGGGCGTGGATCTCACGTTGCTCGAATCGAGCAAGTTATCGCTCATCGAGGGCGACACGACAAAGCCTGACCTCGGATTAAGTGATTCGCTGTTGAAACAGGTGTGTTCTTACCCAGGATCTATACTCACAAGTCTCACGCAACACTAGGTTAAGAACAGTCTGACGACCATCATCCACAATGCCTGGCGTCTCGACTTCAATCTCTCGCTCTCGTCCTTCGAATCTCACATCAAGGGAGCACGAAACCTCGTCAACCTCGCTCTAGGCTGTTCTGGCCCATCGCCCGCTCATTTCATCTTTACGTCCACGATCGGAGCAGCAAGCAACTGGAAGGAGAACCGCGCTGTGCCCGAAGAGCCGTTGGATGATCCCGCAGTTGCGTTAGGCAACGGCTACGGGCAGAGTAAATGGGTTACCGAGCGGGTGTTGCTAGCTGCCACCCGGGAACGGGAGATGCGCACGACCATCTGGCGCGTGGGCCAGCTCTCGGGCTCAACAGCCAACGGAGCGTGGAACACGACTGACTGGATTCCTATTATTGCCAAGAGTAGTGTCGCCTTGGGAGGCCTGCCGGCTTCTCCTCAGGGAACGGTCGATTGGCTGCCCACGGACAAAGGGGCTTCAGCGATTATCGACAGCCTGTACACGCCCTGCAGCTCGGACAAATCCAAGTACTTCAATCTGGTTCATCCGAAGCCCACTTCCTGGACCTCTGTGTTCGAGTGCATGTCCAAGGAGCTCTCGATCCCTCTCATCCCCTTCGGAGACTGGGTCAGCAAGGTCGAGCAAGCTACTTCCGACGGCACACCAGGTGCCGTCGAGCGTATACCAGCAATCAAGATCCTCGATTTCCTCCGACGCGCGGCCGGGTCCAGTGGGGAGGTGCAAGAGCGGACGAGGTTCGAGACTGCTGATGCGGTCCGGGTCAGCACGACGCTCCGGGATCTCGAGCAGCTGGGTGAGGCTGATGTGCGGAAATGGCTGGGATACTGGAACAAGCATGGGATGTTTGATTGAGTAGATCACATGTCAGGTCAAATAGCCTCTAGGATTATGCCATCTTCATCATATCTGAGGGAAGGCGGCGTTGTACACCACACAGGTGCTAGATGTCAAACGATCATCGCCCCCGTAACCCTCAACACGCTCCCGCTGACCCACCTCGCTCCTTCACTAACGAGGAACGCGACGGCCTCGGCGATATCCTGTGGATCCCCAAGCTTGCCAAACGGCCCGCTATGCTTGATCCCCTCGATGAGCCGGTCAGGCTTGCCCTTGAGGAACAGCTCCGTACTCGTAGGACCGGGGGACACAGCGTTGACTGTTATCCCCTTCTGTCCCAGCTCTTTCGCTAAGACACGCGTGAGCTGCTCGACAGCACCTTTCGTAGCAGTGTACACGAAGTAGTTGGGCGTTATACCAGACTGGATCGTCAGCCCTGTTGAGAAGAAGATGATCCTGCCCCCTGTGGGCATATGGGGCACTGCGGCTTGCGTGAGGAAGAGAGGACCTTTGACGTTGGTGTTGAAGTGCGCGTCGTAGAAGGATTCCGTGAGCGTGGAGAGGGTCGCGCTGCCCATGATACCGGCGTTGAGCACTGCTCCGAATTAAGAAATAGCACGCTCCTGAACGAGGTCGACGCACCGAGGATATCGATCTTCCCAAAATGCTTCAGCGTCTCCTCCACCAGCGCCTTCGCCCCCTCCACACCACTAACATCGGCCTTGACAGCCACGGCTCTCCTTCCCAGCGCTTTGAGCCCTTCTACCACTGCCTGCGCTTTATCGGCACTATGTGCGTAGTTGACGACGACGGCTGCTCCTTGGGAAGCGAGCTTGTAGGCTATGGACGCGCTGATGCCTTGTGATGAACCGGTGATGAGGGCGACTTTGTCTTGCAGGGGAAGGAGGAGAGACATGTTGTTATCTTTTGGAGGGGGGTGTGCTGAGTACTCGGTGTGAGGTATTGATATAGTTGTGACTGGTTGATATGACGCACGACCGACGTCATCTGTCCATCCTTTATATAGACAGATCCCGACCCTTCATAATTCGTACAGCAAGTGAGAACAGAGACATGCGAGTCTTTCCTAGCGTTTAGAGCCTGAGAGTGGAACAGGAAGGGAAAGGTATCTGGTAGGAGAATGAGAGTTACGTAAGAGAAAAGTTATCGCCGAGCACCGAGAATCTGGCGAAAAGCTTAATGCCGATATGGGTCGTGAGACCTGATGTTCATCCCATGTGCTAGGTGCGAAGCGACAGTTCGGGGTACAAGGTGTAGCAAGTCCAAGAAGTACACTAAGCCTGGCACAATTTACAGAGGAAAACTCATGATGCGGTTCTGTCCGGTCATGTGACCCCCGATTGAGCCTTCTCCGCCGGATTAGGGCCGTCCGCAGGGTTTGCACATGGGCTGGACAGGGTCGACTGTTCTGTAAGTAGCGTTTCATTTCAAGATGGTTTCGCAATTTTATCTCGATATCAACTAGCGCGACTGCTGCCCGAGACTTCATAAGCCCGAAGCTATCGGTTATCGATCAGTGTGGGAGCGTAATATGATCAAGGTCTGTCTTCAGTTACCGCATCCATTGAATCTGTCCCAATCGTTGACCAGGCTGTCTGTGCTCCAGCTTGCTATTGGGCACGATGGGTGGGCGAGGAGTATAAAAGGGGTCGGTGGGCGCACGACCAGCCGACTATCCGACAATTTACGCACCTTGAGCTAAGTTGAGAAAGATGACCGTCGTAAACGCTCCTGCAACAGTGCTCGTCACCGGTATGTCTTCCTCTTGACAACTGGTCGCGTACTGACTCCCCCATGTGGGATCACGTAGGTGCCAACGGCTACATTGGCGTATGGATCTGCCGTATTCTGTTAGAGAACGGATATTCTGTCCGAGGCACGGTGCGCGCAGCGTCGAAGGGGGACTATCTGAAGAAGCTGTTCGAAAAGGAGGGAGAGAGGTTCGAATATGTGATCGTGAAAGATATCACTGTTGTGCGTCTTGCACTTGGGTACTGGGAGGAGAGAAGCTGAATTTCGTGTAGGATGGTGCGTTCGACGAGGCTGTCAAAGGTGTACATGCAGTGGTGCATACCGCCAGCCCGGTAACGCTCAAACCCCAGCATCCGGACGGTCTGTTCATCTCTTCCCCGTCTCTCAAGTGGTAAGCTCATACCCGGCAGCGCTCATTAAGCCCGCTGTGATAGGCACTCTCTCTGTCCTAACAAGCGTGGACAAGTATGGGTGCGTCCGGTCGCTATGATTGGAATTACAGACGCTAACGTAAGCGATTCGGAACGTACAGGGCTGACGTAGGCAGAGTGGTCATGACCAGCTCGTCCGCTACCTTTGTTGAGCCGCATAAAGACGGTTATGTATATACCGAGGTGAGCTTCCCCTTCGCCCGCCTTCTTCTTGCTCACATCATGCAGAAAGACTGGAATGAATATTCCGTACGTGAGGTGGAAGAGAAAGGGGACAAGGCCGCCCCTATGCACGTATATCGGGCGAGCAAGACGCTCGCCGAACGGAAGGCGTGGGACGTGGAGAAAGAGAAGAAAGGGAATTGGGATCTGGTCACTATCCTGCCGCCTTATGTCTTTGGGGTGAGTGTATTGCTTGTTCGATGACATACTACTGATGAGCATCTAGCCATTGCTCCAGGAGGTACGGTGACAAACATTCCAGTGGAAGAAACAACTAACGGGTGGGCATAGGTAGCAGGGAAGGACTCACTCAACGCCTCGGTGCAGATCCTCTACGACGCTGTGCTCACCCCTATGACGGGCGAAGTACTGTACCAGTTCATGGGCTCCTGGGTTGATGTGCGGGACGTGGCTCTCGCACATGCTCTCGCCTTGCAAAAAGAGGAGGCTGGGGGGGAAAGGATTATCGTTTCCGCCGGTATGCTTCACAACCCCCTAAGGCAGAACCGGATGCTGATGTTCACACCAGGTCAGTTAACATGGCAAGATGTGTACGATGCACTCTCTTCCCCTTCCCTCGATCCTCCGTTCCCGAACGCGCCTAAAGGTACCCCAAGCGCGCAACGCAAGGGTATGCAATTCTATTCGACCGAGTTCTGCAACAAGCTGTTCGGGATCCAGTTCAAGGGCTTAGGAGAGTCGGCGAGGGATACTATGTTTAGCGTTTGGGATAGAGACTAGTGTGTTCATTCCTGAGAAGTACGGCAAACAAGTATAGCACTTAGTGCCTCATGTCCGGCAGGAGGGGGTAGATTACCATATGAACGAGTTCAGAAATACGCACTTTGCCATAGAAGACGCCTGATAACGAACCCCTTCGACAGGTTTTGAAACACCTTAGTTGGCTCGCAAAACAGCTATCTACGGATGTCCTGGTCTGGTTGGTTTATCATTGACTCATTTCTCCCCCGCCGGAACTTGCCTCCGTTCGGCATGTCACCTGATTGTAGTGCGGCTGGTCCTGTATAGTTAGCGCCCAAGAGAAAGTCACCAAACTGGCGCGTCCTGTTGAACTACAAATGTGTCTCATTGACTTCAGGAAGAGCCTTGAGCAAGAAAGCCTGCAAATCGCTAAAAATATGGGTTCTGGACTGTTAATTGCGTCGATATCTGGACCCAGTGCAATGTTCGGAACGAGTGAGCACCAGAGTCTCACGTTGTGGGACATGGTCAGGTTTCAGCATCCAAAGATCTATGTATAGAGTGGACAGCTTGGACCGCATCACTTGGCGAGCCGTCATGTGACCCACCAGATGCCCGGATTTCAGCCTGAAGATCGATAGACGCGATGCATTAGCAGTCCTTCAACTAACACATAAATGAAGCGGGCTTAGGGAATGGGGGACGAGGATCGTATAATTTCAATGCGTATAATTTGAGGCATATGAATGAAGAGAGCACAAGGACTGATATGTCGCGCAGCTATTCTATTCTATCCGCGTGACAGGAACTCATAGACGGTGATCTTGGGTTCGCTACCGCACGTGCAATTCTCGTGTTACACAGACAGCTCTCCTCCCTTTGTCTTCACTACCAGCTCGTTGATGCAAGAGATAACAGCCTCATTGAATCCCTCTGGGTCAGTCACCATTAGAAAATGGTCACCGTCCTGGATAACCCGATACGTTGTGTTGTCCTGGCTGTGGCTACGCTCGATAACCCATTTCGATCCTTCAAGGCACGAAGGGATGGTGTTGGTACCTAAAGGTATGTTGAATAATCAAAGAAGACATGCTCCGCACCCAACAACTTACCATAGATAACGCTCAACCCCAGGAAAGACGGCACATCCTTGAAGGCCATCTTGGAAACAGCCTCCCGCTCTTCATCGTCCTTCCCGTTCCAGGTAAACATGTCATGGGCGGCCACCTCCATCTTGTCGACAGAGACATGCACCAGGTGAACCTTGTCGGCGGGTAATGCCGAAAGCATACCGTGAACGAAGTCACGACCCTGCACAGCCATGCTTTCAGTCTCATTCCCAAATTTCTCCTGTCGTGGGATGCCGAAAATCAGTCCGGGCGGTTCGAAAAGCATTACATTGACAACATGGCTGCGGACAGCGCCGAGATAGGGCTCGAAGGCGGACATCGATAGACCATGAGATGCAGCGAGCCCCTCCTCGCTGGAGAGGACAGCCAAGAGCGATGTCAAGTACGAACAGGCCTTTGACCTACAAAAGATGAATGCGCTCTTCACGGTGGATACCGAGACACGCACCAGCCGAGCAGCACGATTCCTCCTTTTCCTGTCTTTGGATCTTTGGGGGGGATCTTCAATACTTCAACAGCATACTTGACGAAGGCCACGAGGTCGAGCAGGTAACGGCCGTACGACTCGACGAAGTTTCCATCGGTGGGCTGGTGAAGGTCTGAGGAACCGTTGAAGCCTCGACGGTTGAGGGCAAGCAGACGGATGTCCTCGGGCAGGTGGGGAAGCCAAGGGAGCCAGATATCTGGATTGGTGATTCTGTTGGTAAGCCAAGATGTGACTGAGAGTAGAGCTTCCAAGAAACATACTCGAGTTGACACCAATTCCATGCAGAGCAATGATGGTGGTGTAGGGCGTCCCAGCGGCTCTTCTAGGGTTGGTATCTCCATACCGCAAACTGACGGGCTGGTCTCCAGAGACCAGATTGCCGAGTTCAGCAATGGACCACGAAAAAGACATTTTGAAAAGCGTGAAATGATCTATTGTGAAGACTTCTGTATGGCAATAATTCTTCACTTTTATAGGGAGTTACCCACTCCGTTGACTCACACCCCCGGTCTCTGGATCACTCCTCGCCGAGGTCTGGCGATGCTCAGGAAACAATTCAAGCATTTGGTTTGAATTATCTCAAGATGTGTTTCTCTTCATCTCTGCGAGCAGCCAACGTCGGACGAAACGAACGGAATTTACCTCCAAACGCCCATAGTAGAGATCAGAACTCGCTTTTGAAAGTCGCACCAAAATGGACGGAGATTGCTTTTGATAATATACCAGCCGTTCAATAAGCGAGGAAGACCGAGACATCTAGTATAAGCATAACTATATCGTATCAAGTCTTCATGAATAACAGATCGAGTGAATTCACGTCTAATTTACCCGTGGGCTGGGCAGGTTACTGATCCACTCGCTACAAGCCCGTTTCGCTTCTCGTTTTGCCTCAGTCACTAGTACACCCACTCCGAGACGTCAAGCTAAAGGCAGAGATCAAAATAAGCGATATGAATCGCATCGCTTATTGTATAGTTATGATCGGTGAATTTAAATTATGGTGTAATCAGGGTCCAATCTTCGATGGCTTATCTACTCCCCGAAGTTGGTCATGTAATTGGTATCGGCTCCTTGTTCCGGCGAAGCGTGTGCACATGAAGAGACAAGCTAAGGGTGGGTTGGCATGACCAGCGCATCACGCAGTATCTCTCGATCAATACAAGTCTCAAGATGACCATCGTAAATCCCCCTGCAAAAGTCCTTGTCACTGGTACGCAACTCCTGTCCGACTGTTGACCGCGGAACGAAACAGGCGCTAACGGCTATATCGCTGTATGGATCTGCCGTATTCTGTTAGAGAAGGGATATTCCGTGCGAGGCACTGTACGCACGCCGTCGAAGGGGGACTATCTGAAGAAATTGTTCGAAAAGGAGGGGGAGAGGTTCGAGTATGTGCTCGTGGAGGACATCACCGCGGTGCGCTGTCTTTTCTCGGGAGTGACAAGGAAGGGGCTGAGCTTGGGTTGGGAACAGGAAGGTGCCTTTGACGAAGCTGTGAAAGGTGTGCAGGGGGTGCTGCATACTGCCAGCCCCGTGGCAATGGCCATCAAGCATCCGGACGGTGCGCTCTTGGCCTCCCCCAATCTCGCACACTAACCGCTTCCAGAGCTCATCAAGCCCGCGGTGCAAGGCACACTCTCCGTACTGACGAGCGTGGACAAGTATGGGTGTGTCATCCCAAGCTGCTCCAGATAGGCAGACGCCAATATGGGCTGCCTCCCGAATGTGTAGGACTGAAGTGGGGAGAGTGGTCATCACGAGCTCTTGTGCAGCCATCCTAGAACCACACGAAGGGGGCTATGTCTATACCGAGGTGAGCTCCAACCTGCCAAGCCCAAGCCTCCCTGGTAACACCTCGCAGAAAGATTGGAACGACTTCTCGCTCCACGAGGTGGAACAGAAATCGGAAAAGGCCGCGCCCATCCACCAGTACCGGACGAGCAAGACGCTCGCCGAGCAGAATGCGTGGAGGTTTGAGAAGGAAAAAACGGGGAAATGGGATTTGGTTACTATTCTACCGCCGTATGTCTTTGGGGTTAGTTCTCAACTTCTTCGGTTGCGCGCGACTGATAAGCCTCCAGCCTTTGCTTCAGGAGGTGCGTTGCCAAGCCAGACAAGGATAAGAACGCTAACACATGGGACCAGACGGCTGGGAAGGACTCGCTCAACTTCTCTGCGCAGCTGATATACGATGCCGTTGTTACGCCTAAGACGGGCGAGGCGCTCTATAGCTATGCTGGCAAATTGGGTTGACGTGCGGGACATAGCCCTAGCGCATGTGCTCGCTTTGCAGAAAGAGGAGGCAGGAGGGGAGAGGATCATCGTTTCCGCCGGTATGCGTATTTCCGCATGTGCCAAGTCCAGACTAAACGTAATGTTGACGCTCTTCTCAGGATATTTCGCATGGCAAGATTTGTACGATGCGCTCTCGTCCCCCTCGCTCGATCCCCCATTCCCGGACGCGCCCAAAGGCAGCAGCGAACGCGGGGCCCCGCTGATCTACTCCGGCGATCTATGCAACAAATTGTTCGGGATTGGGTTCAGGGGCTTACGAGAGTCAGCGAGAGATACGGTGTTCAGTGTTCGAGAGAGACACTAGGCTATTTCGTGCTTCAGGGATAGGAGGGAAGGGACAGTCTTGGCGATAGGCTTGGCGTGGATAGGATCGGCAGGGACACAGGGCCAGAAGTGGGGAAATGTGGAAAAGTAACGAAGTTGATGTAGCCTAGACTGTAAGCCAAGAAATGAAGTAAAGAATATGTACGTTTGTACTGGAAGAGAATGCGAGATGAGGTGAACACAAAGATGCGATTCCAGAGACTGGTTGGCAACCCGGTATGAGCCGTCTCACAATGGTGGAGGACATCAATGCCGCCTATCCATTTATACATTCTTTGTCTTTATCAATATTAGAAGACGAATATGTAATCGTTTGTGGAGGCCCCAGATCGGCGGAACATTGACCCGATATATCCCCTTTCCGTAATCGGATAAACAATGTCGGCTCCGGGGTGTTGCCCGTTCAGGGCAGGTGGAGGACCATCGAGGACGTTATGGATGGGCATTCTCGTTGGGCAGTTGGACGTCCTTTCTTCTCCTTCTCATTTCTCTTGGTTCTCCTTCTTCTCTTGGGGCTCCTCGGCAGTGGGTTAGATTGGTCGTGATATACGTCTGCTCATCGGGGCACTCCAACGGAATAACCAAGGTCATCTCCAGACTATATATCACCCACAGCATCGCACCTAAACACACCCTACCTCATCCTCAACTCCCCGTACTTCATCATGGCTATCCAGAGACTCATATCTGGAACGGAGGTCTCCAAGCATAACACCCGCGAGAGCTGCTGGATCATCGTACATGGTGCCTTCCACAGTCACCCTATGTGCACGCGAGCTGATAACGATACAGGAAGGGTGTACGATGTTACCGATTTCCTCCCTGAACACCCAGGTACGACTGTCTACATTGGTAGTGTTCTCAACTGACTGCGCGACAGGAGGGATGAAGATCATTCTCAAGTACGCAGGGAAGGATGCTACGTGCGTTCACCGCTCTCTCTCACTTTGCCGGAGTTTGCTGACCATCGATTGTCGGCTTTCTTGCGTTGTCGGCCATGTAGCGAAGAGTATGACCCTATCCATCCTCCCGACGCTATCACCACCAATTTGCCCCCGGAGAAACAGTGCGTCCTCTTCCTTTGTACATCTTTCTATCCTCCACGTTCCTCACCACGTCACCAATATCCTCCACCTCACCCAATCCCTCTCAGCATGTACTAACGACCCCCCAGTCTAGGAGTCATCGACCCCAACACCGTTACTCAGGTTGTGAGGGAAGTGACAACAGAGGAGATTGCACGACAGGAACGACATGAACGTAAACCGCCGTTGGATGAGATCCTCAACTTGCATGATTTCGAGGTGCCTTACCTTCTTCCCCTTCATCGTGGAAGATGCTAAACTTTTATGCTACGTAGGCCATCGCCCGTGCTGTTATGCCCGAAAAGGGGTGGGCCTACTACTCCTCCGCAGCGGACGACGAGATCACCCACCGAGAGAACCATCTCGCCTACCATCGTGTCTGGTTCCGTCCCCGCATCCTGCGCGATGTCCACCAAGTGGACTGGAGCACGACCATCCTAGGGCAGAAGAGCGCGATGCCGGTGTACATCAGCGCTACTGCGCTGGGAAAGCTCGGTCACCCCGAAGGAGAACTCAACCTTACCCGCGCCGCTGGGAAATATGGGATCATCCAGATGATCCCTACGCTCGCGAGCTGCAGCTTTGACGAGCTAGTGGATGCTACTGTACCTGGCCAGTCCCAGTTCCTTCAACTGTACGTGAGCAAGGATCGCGCGATCACGAAGCGGTTTGTGCAGCACGCAGAGAAGCGCGGGATCAAAGGTCTGTTCATTACTGTCGACGCGCCCCAGCTTGGCAGGAGGGAGAAAGACATGCGCATGAAGTTTGAGGATACTGGCAGCGCGGTCCAGCAGGAAACGGGGGAGAAGGTGAACAAGAGTGAGGGCGCGGCGAGGGCAATCTCGAGCTTCATCGATCCTAGTCTGGCTTGGAAGGACATTCCCTGGTTCAGGAGTATCACCAAGAGTGAGTTTTCCAGCAAGCAGAGGAACTGTAGCTAACCCTCCTGCCAGTGCCCATCATACTCAAAGGTGTCCAATGCTGGGAAGACGCCGTCCTCGCTGCAGAAGCCGGGCTACAAGGTGTCGTCCTCTCCAACCACGGCGGTAGACAATTGGACTTTGCCCGATCGGGAATCGAGATCCTGGTGGAGGTCGTCGCCGCACTCCGGGAAAGGAACCTCTTCCCCAACCCGAATTTCCAGATCTTCGTCGACGGAGGCGTGCGTCGTGCCACGGACGTGCTCAAGGCCGTAGCTCTGGGCGCCACAGCCGTCGGCATTGGCAGGCCGTTCATCTACGCGTACTCTGCTTATGGACAGGCCGGAGTCGAGCGCGCGCTCACTATCCTCAACGAGGAGTTCGAGATGAACATGCGCCTCATCGGTGCGCCAACGCTGAAGGATGTTGTGCCCGCTATGGTGGACGCGAGCAACATCACCATGCACGTATCCAACGTCCCGGATGATAGGCTGTATCACGCGAATTGTGAGCGACCTCCCTTGTTCCCTCAGGACTGGAAAGCTAATGATAAACAGACGAATCCATGCAACGTAGCGAACTGCGCACTGTCATGTCTAAGCTCTAGGACCTGCACCTCGTTCTGCACATCTGCACCGTCTGCCTTGGGTGTCGACTGTGTTAAGGCGCCGATTAGGCGCAAGGTGTAGCTGTAATACGATTCTTGTAGAGCTTACGTGCCTGCATGCTTTTTGGTCCGAGAACGACTGAACGATCTGATGGTTAAGAGTATCCCGCATCATGAGCTTCCCCAACAAATATTTAATATGTTACGAGAATGCACTTCCCACTCTCAGTTTGACAACTTGATACGAGAGTCCCCCATAAACTGAATAAGATGTGCATACTACTAAGATCCAACAAATAGACTATATGCTCAACCAAAACCTCCGTAGGAAACGTCCTCCCAATCCACCCCATAGGTCCCTCTCCCCTGTCATGTACATCCTCCCCTTCCGTCCGTCTCTCCGATACCCTCCATATCTACTTCTTCCCCAATCCCTGCAATCAGTACAGGTCCCACACTTCAGCAGGCAAGACCTTGCGCATCGCTATACTCCCCCATCAGCTTCCCACCCAGCGAAAAAAAAGGGGGGGGGGGAAAGACTCACCTCTCCAATGTCTCAAGACGTCCCCCGTCGTCCACTTGTCCATATAGTTCCTCGCCTCTCTCACGATCCAATCATCCGTGATCAGGCTCTCAGCCACATGGCCTATCATCTGCTCCGGGCTGATTTCCCTCTCAGGCAAGTTACCTAGGACGAGCTGGGTCGTCCTGCTCTGCGTGAACGTTTTCGGCAGGGGGGAGAACTGGAGACTGGGCGCAGGAGTGCAGAAGACGACCATGTTCGCCATCTCCCCCTTCTTGGGCGGAGCGGGCAGATCGTAGAACGCCCGGCATTTCCCATCCGCAAAAGCGTGGTTTAGCGTCACCCAAACTGCGCGCCCCGCGTTCCCCCCCAGCTCGCCAACGACATTGACCGCCAACACGCCGTCCGGCTTGAGGAGAGGCTTGAGTTCCTGGAAGACTTCCACGGTGAACATGTGCGCTGGGACGCCCCCGCCTGTGAAAACGTCGTGGACGATGTAGGCGAAGTCTGTGTCCTGCGGGGAGAGGGTGCCGTTGGCTCGCGCTTGGGTGCGCTGGGAGATCCAGGAGCGCGCTTCGGCGATTTGGGTCGGGAGGGCGGGGAAGGAGAAGTAGGAACGGGCGTAGGGGGGGATGAGAGGGTCTACTTCTAGGATCGTGGGTGTGACGCCGTGCGAGTAGAGGGCAGAGGGGAGAGAACCGATTCCCAGTCCACTGGAAGTGTCTGGTTAGCTCGGGCCTTTGTATGTACATAGGAGCGCTCACATGACTAGCGCTCTGTCGTCTGCCTTCTTCTCACGTTCTGCGAGGAGGACCGCCTGCTGCAAGTCAAAGGCGGCGAAGATGCTCTCGCCCCCCGCATGTCCCAGCTTCTCCTGGTCCGCACCGTCCAGCCACTGCCCACCAAGCAAGCTAGCGTCACACCTGAGCCAGCGGAATCCAAGTTCCTTGCTCTCCCCAACCACGAGTGTGCCGGTGACGCTCTCCCCCCTAGCGAGGACATGCACGTCTTCCCCGGGGAGGGAGTGGATAGGCGCGCAGTTGGACATCCGGATGTTGCCTTCGCCCAGAGGGTTGGAGATAGCCAACCGGGGGAAGGAGAGGAACAGGATGGGCAAGCCGAGGAGAAGCATCTTCACTACCGTGTTCGTCTCCTTCTTTTCCTTCTTTTCTGCTGCTGCTCCAGCCTCCTGTGCGGCGGCGGCGATCGAGTGCGGGTCCTCGTCAGGCACTACGATGCTCATGAATGCGAGTACGACAGCAGTGGCAGAGAGGAGGTTGCAGGGGTTCACAAGCTCCGAATGGGGTAGGATGGCAGCGTATATCGGGCCAAGGGAGTGCATCCCCGCATAGGTGGTGAACCCCGCGCGGATAGAGCCGTTCAGCTGGTAGTCGGTATCTGGCTGCACAGAGTTCAGCGACTGCGGAAGGGAGGGAGTAAGGAGGGAAAACACACCATCCATCTTTTCATCAAGTTGACGGTGCACACAGTAAGGGGGATCACAGCTAGCAGCTGGGCGAGGGTTGCCCCTACCCCTGGACCCCACTCTTGGATGATATCCAGCCGTGCTAGGAGGCGGCTGGACTGGTACACCAACACCGGGGTGAGAGCGATCGTACTCCCCAGTATACTGAGAACAGTATGCGGGTCCATCAAGGGCACCAGCGTGCTAGGTGCGCAAAGGACGATAAGGACGACCTGGGCGTACTGGAGCGCGGCTGTAGCGCCAAACGTCGGACGGAGGAGCTGTCGGATGCAGAATAGGGCAAGGGAGGAAGCGGCCATGGTGGATAGGACTAGAGCGCCGGAGATGAGGTGATAGGAGAGGGGACGGGGTGCTTGGGCGAGAGAGGGACGGGAACCGGGGCCAACGGTGGGCGCATTTGGTGCTGGGACTGAGGCGGACGTGGATGTGGACGTCGTTGTCGCGCCGGCAGGTTTTGTAGTGGATGGTTTGCGCTTTGAAGGTGTTGTTTTTGTTGGACGTGCCATCTTTTGAACAATGAACAACTGACAACTGACAACAATAACTGATTGTAGAAGTTGAAGTTGAAGATGAAGATGAAAATGAAGATGGTGGTCAAGAAAGAAAAGAGGACGTCTGTGTTGTATCCCCGTTTGAACCGTCGTTTGCTGTTATTTGCGGGGTAATTACTCGCGTGATCACCCGCAGTTTATCCGACACACACGTGACACTTTATCCGTGCCTGAAAACCCTGACCACAAACACAAAGGAATTGAGTTTTACAAATAAAGTTCTGTGGCTGAAGGAAAGTGGGAAAGGACGGGAAGATATCCTATTGGCTAGTTAACATTGTATACATTCATTCACGTTATTGTTACTTTCACATCATCGTTGAGCTCAATCATACACATCCTCATATCTCCTCCTCCGCCCTACTCATTCCCCACCCCGTAACCCCCTTACTCCCCCAAGCGACCGCATAATGTCCCAACACCAAATCCAGCTCCTCATACTCGTCCATCAGTTCCAGTTTCGCGACTCTGCACCATGTGAGCTCTTTAAGCAGAAGAAACGGGGTAGGGGAAGGGGAAGGGGAAGGGGAAGGCGCGCACCTCTCGTTCTCCGCTGGGGGGACGTAGTGTGTCCGGATATCCCGTAGTGTAAGCGCTTGGCCTTCGAACCCCGCGCGTTGGAACCGCTCGTTCAGGGCATCGAGGCTAGCCACAGTTCCCGGGATCTGTACACCCCTCACCTGAAGATCAGGGAATATGTAAGTGCACAAGCAGGGATGAGAGCAGTAGGACGTACAGCCAAGTTCTCCCTCATCACCTTGCCAAACGCGTCTCCCAGACCGAACATCTCGTACAGCACCACCGCGACTTTCCCAAACCTTTCCCCAGCCCAGCGGAGCACTGTCTCTCCCTCCCTCAAAGGGAGGTACGGCAGCACACACTCGAGCAAGACCAGGGTCGGCAGGGTGGGGGATAAGAGCGCATCTGTGTCGTTTGCGGGAGTAAGGAGTGCGCCGAGTGTCTTTTCGGGTGATAACCTCAAGTCCGCAGGGAGGAGGGCGTACTTCTCCCCTCTCACTCCTGTGCCTCCTCCCGCTATCCATACCATCAGCCCCCCTCTTCCACCAAGGAAAACAACTCACTCAGCGCGCATACACCCAGGGCCCCTTTCAGCTGCGCATGCTTCCAGATCGCACGCGCCTTGCTGCTTGTCACTTCAGGAAAGTCGACCTCTACCCAGCGGGCGATCTTCCCTCCCATAGGTGTAGACTTGCGCTTCTTCAGCTGTGCTTTCATGTGATTCAGGTAGCGGAACCGCGCACCGAGATCCTCCAAAATCGGGTATCGCTCCCCGCGCCCAAGCTCAACACCTGCACCTTCCCTCCCTCCCCCACACGCTGAACAAACCCCTTTACAAGCGCATCCACGCTCCTTCCCCTCAACCACGTGCCTACATTAATGAGCGCAGGCCGGTTCGGCACCCCCTGAGCGCGGAGGACGAACGATTCTACGAATGGGTCGGGGAAGTATGAGAGGCGGGAAGCGGAGAGTCGGGCGTGGAGAGCGTCTGTGTCTGTTGAACGGGTTGCGGTGTCTTGATCTATTGGTGCTGAGTGGGAGGGGAATGGAGGTCGACTCGGAGGTGGGAACATCGTTGGTGGGAGACTGGAGGGAAGGGATGAGGAATGATGGAGGGGTGGACCCTTTGACAATGACCTCATATCGAGGATAGTACACAGTACACCTATACATCGACAATCCCATGTAATGTACATAACGCACAACGCACTGAATTAATCCATGACTAGCTAATGTCAAAGCTCTAACAGCTCACACACAGCATCATTAAACACCTCAGGATAAGTAGCCATAAGGAAATGGTCTCCTCCATCCACAGCGTGCACCCTCACTCTCTCCGCCCTCTCCCCTATCCACCGAGCACAACCAAGTGCAGAGTCAGTCGAGCCCTTGCCTGCTCCCGTTAGCCCTTTTCACCATAAAAAAGAGCATCTTACAGTAGAGCAGCGCCACCCCTACCCCGGGATGGGCGAGAGCGAGCTCTGCTACTCCCCTCTCTCCGCTTCGGCCGCATACCAAGCTCCCATATCTTCATCCCAGAACGCACCGTCTGATGCGGCATCCACCACCCCGAGCCTGTCCTGAGGGAGCCGCGCGCGGTGCCAAGCGGCAAACGCGGGTCCCATCTCTGAGGGCTGGATATCCCCCAGGCCGGGATAGGACGCCGGCCCGGGGAGACCGACGAGCACCTGAGGAGGCTCGAAGAGGATCATGCTCCGCAGGAGGGAGAGAGAGGGGAGGTACGGCTGGAAGGGGACTGGGAGGGAGGGGGAGGGTTTGCCAAGCTGGGAAGGGGAGAGATGGGAAAGGAGCGAGACGAGGGGAGCAGTGCCTTTCGACCTTTTTGCTTATGTGTTAGCTACCCAGAGTTGAAGAAGAGAGGGCAGTTCCAGCCAAGCAGGACGATCCCCCCTTTCTTGTTCCCTTTCCCCTCGTCTTGTGCCCTCCCCGCCCCTAGGTGGTCAACAGCATACCGTACAAAAGCCAGCAAGGCGATCAGCTCCCTTCCAAACGTGCCCGGCTGTGGATGGGGCGGGGAGGAACCTTCGTATCCCCTCCTATTCACGCCAAGCACGCGAAGGTCCCGGGGTGCATGAGAGAGCCAGGGGAGGAAGATCTCTGTTTGTGTTAAGCACGAAAGCTGGCGAGTGGGAGGGAGTGTATACGTACTGGAGTTCCAACCCAACCCGTGCAGGGCTATGATCGCTGTGGATTCGTCTTGATTGGATGGCAGGGGATGGGTGTCAAAGTAGCGCAACGTGACTGGTGGATCGCCTGGCACGAGTGTCCCCAAGTCGGCTGAGGACCAGGTCACCGACATCCTCTCGCGACACTAAATATCCGCAGGACAGTGAGCTGAGGAGTGATATTGCTGACATTTGCCTGGGTTGGGTTTATAATGCACCGAGACATGTCGCTGGCTGGTTATTGGCAGGATTTTCCATTACTGTTTTCGTCGACATTTGACATGTGATTATCCTGAACCTCTCCAAGCAGAAGTGTTCGTACAGCGCACCAAATTCTCAAGTCATACGTCATACGTATTGCAGCCCAATACATCCTACATCAAACCCCTCTTTCACGCAGACCGCGGATTCTGTGCTAGCCCCTCAAGCTGCTTCATCATACCCCCCACAGCGGTGTTGAACACCTCAGGATCTGTCGCCATGAGAAAATGGCCCGTCCCTTGCAAGATCTTGATCGCAGTATTTGGTTTCCCATTCCAGAGAGGGGTGATCCATGCCGCACAGTCGGTACATGTCTCCCAAGTCCCGGTTCCTACCACCTAATCAGCCTAAGCGGGGAGACACCGAAGCGGTCTTACCGTATATCAAGCCCACCGAGAGCCAAGGGGGGATGTTCTCCAGCGCGATCTTCGCCATCTGTGCAACAACTTTCATATCTTGGGCAGGCATGATGTCCCCATCCAGCCCCGTGGCGAGCGTGTCCCCAATGGCAGCCGCTTGCTGCGCGCATGGCTGAGCGTCTTCCGGCAACGAGCCGATACAGCCTGCCATGAACACTTTGGCCCTCTCTTCCGGCGGGGTGTTCATATTCCACAACCCGCTGATAGACTCTGGCAGGGGGATCCCGACTAGCACCCCGGGCGGCTCGAACAGGATCACGCTCTTCAGATGGGATTTGATCACGTCCATGTATGGTTCAAACGCAGATCGGGGAATTCCGTTCAGTTCAAAAGGGGGCGTGATGCCTTGGGAAAGCAGGCCTAGAAATGAGATGGCCGGGCCGTTGCCTTTCGACCTGAAAGGTAGTGAGCGTCTGCGCTGGGGGGTGGGAAAATCATACCATGCCAGCAAGACGATCCCTCCCGTCCCGTCGCTCCTCTTTGGGGGAACCTTGAGTACCTCTGCGGTATACTTGATGAAGGCTACCAGATCGAGGACATATCGTCCCCATGGCTCGGTAGGGTCTTGCGGTGTCGTTCCGGTTGGCTGATGGATAGGTCCTGATCCAGAATAACCACGACGATTCAGGGCGATCAACCGCGTGTCAGCCAAGAGTGGGATCCATCGGTTCCAAATGTCTACGACAAAATTGTCAGACTTCACGAACTAAGGATGATGGTGACCCACTCGAGTTGAAGCCAACACCATGCAATGCGATGATGGTGTTGGAACTATCCGTTTTGTCACCGGATGTGTCGAGATATCGAAGATGGACCGGCTGATCCCCGGGATACAGAACTCCCAGCTCGGCAGTAGACCAGGATGCAGGCATAAGAGTTGCTATGGAATGAAACAGAGGGATCGATGTCTCTGCTGACAATCTAGCCTTGACCCACCGGTGTTCTTATACGAGATGTCTCTTGGGCAAGACCAGGTGAGACACCGCTTTGTTCTATGTATACCAGAAACGTGCCGATACCAAAGGAAATCGAAGGTCGTGGCTATCGCCCATGCATATTCGGCACAAATAACAGAATGGTATTTGAACAGCGAAGAAGAATGCTCAACAAAATAATGCTATTTAAGATTAGCCTGTGCAGAAAAGAGAAAATGTAATTTTAGAACTGAACGCACCGTCAAGTACTCAATGGTCAAGATCAAAACGTAATCTCGCCGACATCCTGGCCGAGCTCAGGCATGACCAATAAACAGTGGAGCATGTTCAATAGCGATCGCATTGAAGGTATGCAGTTGCCCATTACAATTGCGAACTAGTCAATAGAAGAATTGAGTCATCAAGGAGAGAGCGTTAAACGGAAGCATCGACAGGGACTGCTTCCTTGATCCAGTAATTAATGACAAAGGTTCACAGCTTTCTGGTCATCTGAGAGTTACCAAAAATATATATGCGGTCCTGAGACCCAACGTTCCCACGTAACACCGCTGTGGAAGACGCGTTTCGAACGGGGGAATGATCAGCGTGTCTTGAATATACAGAACCCAAACGTCGAACCCGATATCCAGTGCTATTCGTGGAGCCGATCTTCGTCCGGTCCCACGGTTCCCCTTGCACAAACACCCTCTCGCGTGTCATCTTCACCAAGAGTTCATCTAACTGCAGCGTTAAAGGCCCCCGGGTCTGTTGCCATCAAGAAATGACCTCCGTCTTGGATGACCTGATATGTCGTATTGTTTTGGCTGAGGCATGGTTGAATAACCCATTTCGAGCCATCAAGGCACGTAGAAATGGTGCCGGTGCCTGGAGGGTATGTTAGCGTTTCAGGTGAATAACCTGGATATACACAAACTCGCCGTAGATGACACTTAGCCCGATGAAGGATGGGATTTGCTGAAAAGCCACATTCGACAGAGTCTCCCGCTCTTCCTTGTCTTTACCGTTCCCGTTGTACAAATCATCCCCAGTGATCCCCATATTGTCCACGGATATGTGCACCAGATGAACCTTTTCGGCAGGTACCATGGCGAGGAAAGCGTGAACGAAGTCACGACCCTGCTCAGCTAAGGTGGAGCTTTCGTCCCACATTCTCTCAAGGTCCGGGATGCCAAACAGCACACCGGGTGGTTCGTAGAGAATCACATTGGTGACATGGCTGCGGATGGTGTTGAGATACGGATCGAAGGTAGAGAGCGGAAGTCCAAGGGATGCAGGGAGTCCTTCCGCACTTGAAAGCATAGCCAAGATTGACGTTAAGTATGAGCACCCTTTCGACCTGGTTCACCGTCAATTGACTGCAAGGGGCAATAAGACAGGACATACCAGCCAAGCAGCACGATTCCTCCCTTCCCTGTCTTTGTATCTTTTCCCGGAAGTTTCAATACTTTGACAGCATACTTGACGAAAGCCAAAAGGTCGAGCAGGTAACGGCCGTAAGACTCGGTGTTGGTTCCATCGACGAGACGTTCTTGGGGCTGATGAAGGCCGGATGAACCGCCAAAGCCGCGACGGTTGAGGGCGATCAGACGGATGTCTTGGGGCAGGTGTGGTAACCATGGGCTCCAGATATCTGCATCAGTCGTGCTAATGGTGAGCCAACTTCGACTGGTTGGTGGACACTCCGCAAAACATACTCGAGTTGAACCCAATCCCATGCAGTGCGATGATGGTGGTGTAGGGCGTCTGAGAGGTTCTTCCAGGATGTGTATCCCCATATCTCAGTCTTACAGGGTGGTCTCCAGACACCAGACTGCCAAGCTCAGCAGTGGACCATGAAAAGCTCGAGGACATTCGGAAAAGAAAAAGAGGGATCTGTTGCAATAAATTTTGTGAGCCAACAGTTCCTCAATTTATACGGGAGTCGTACCTGCATTACTCGCTCGTGTTAACGTCAGCGATCAGTAGTTTACTCCAGATGACTGGTTGGCGGTCCACTCAAAGTTACGTGTTCATTAACTCCGAGTCTTTCCCGAGCTCATGAACCATTTGCCGAGCTCTGGTTGCAAGTCGAGAAGTTCTCCGTGAGGGTCATTTGATGTGTCTTGATTCAAGCATGCCGCTGTGATTTCCCTTCGGCTGTGCACCACTTCCATGTGTGCACAAATCAGAGTGACCTCGTGATTGCTGAAAAGAAATGCCGAGAGACCTCAGTTTGTTGTCTTTCATCCGGTGGGTAGTGATCATCATGGACATAAAAAGTCGAGAGCGGGCACTGTGCATCATTTCCGCAGTCTTCTCGCTGGACCACTCTCGTCCAATCCAGAAAACGTCATCAATCTTCCAGATGTGTATATCGGCAACTATGGGAAAGCGGCGGACGCGAAGAAAATCCAGTCAGCATATGACCCCGGAGAAGGGTACACCCGCCTTTCTGTACCAGTCCCTTGTTGTGATTCAGACCACTGCCACCGGAGATCTGTACGTTGACCACCAAGAATCATCTGATTGGGTTTATCGAGCCTTCTGTGAATATGAAAGAAGTCCTGTGACTTGTAAAACGCCTCCTTGACGGGGCACTCGAACCTAGGGCTTGCCTTTGTATGGCAATTTCCTTAGCACATTCGATATTCATATTTTCACGGAGTAACTGAACAGGCAGTATAGTTCTTTCTTTCTCTGTGTCCCTTGTGTCCCTTGCCGTAAATGTCGTGTCCCATTCAAGACGAGGCATCCGAAACCTTGGCAGCAAGTTCCCGAATGGTCGAGATAACTGCTCGGTTAAACGCTTCTGGGTCTGTCGCCATCAAGAAGTGATCACCGTCAGGTATGACCGTGGTGGTCACATTAACTTGGTTACCACATTGGTCGATGACATGTTTCGATCCGTCTATGCAGGCGATGATCGTGCCCGAACCTGATGCACGATGATTAAATGTAGCGAGAAAGAATGCTGAGACTTACAATATACGACACCAAGCCCAAGGAACGGCGGAATTCGTTCAAAAGCCAATTTAGATACAGCCTCTCGGTCCGGCGTGCTGACTCCGTCCCAGGTGAATAAGTCTTGCGATGCAAGTTCGAACTTGTCCACCGATGCGTAAACCAGATGGACCCTTTCGGCAGCTAGAGGACGAAGCAAGCCATCCACGAAGGAGCGACCGACTTTCGCGGGACGGGAATCTTCTTCCCACAGTGGCTCGCTAAGTGGAATGCCGTACACCAGACCAGGTGGTTCAAACAGGATGATGCTGGCGACGTGGGTGCGGATTGCTTAGAGAAACGGCTCAAAGGCAGATAGGGGTAGATCATAAGATGGAGGAAGAATGCCAGTACTGGACACGATCGCCAGAAGAGACGATAGAAATGCACATCCCTTCGACCTGAAAACAATCAATATTCCACATTCCGAGATAGAAGGGGCGACGTGCCATCCTAGCAGTACGATTCCTCCACCAATGCCCGGGAGACCTTTGGGCGGAATCTTCAGTACATCCACCGCATATTTCACAAAGGCCATTACATCGAGCACGTATCGGTGATAAGCCTCGAGGTTGTTGGTGAGCAAAGACTGCTGGGACTCATGCAGACGATGAGATCCGGCGTAGCCACGCCTGTTGATGGCAATGAGGCGAACGTCGGAAGGAAGAAATGGGATCCATGGAAGCCACACATCTCGAGAAGACCAAAGAGGTGAGCGTTACTTTGACTACGGAGAAGGTGAAACGTACTCGCGTTGAAACCGGATCCATGCAGAGCAATGATAGTGGTATATGGAGGAGTGGCGGACCGCTCAGGAGAGGTATCTCCGTAGCGTAAAGTGATGGGATCGTCCCCATCGACGACAACTCCCAGATCGGCGGTTGACCAGGTGAAAGACATCGGTCGGGGGGGAGAGCGAGGAGTAATTTCCTCTGATGCCCCCTCTTCGGAGACAAACTTCCTACAATGCCCCATGTGCTTTACATATGGTGTTATCAAGAAATTAGAATATATACTCCCAAGTAGAGGTGTTATTTGAGGGTTACAATAACAGCAATGTACCAAAATGACTGAGATAGATTTCACTCTTTGATTATGCAATTTTTTCTGTACTATAACATCCAAAACTTGTGGGACCCCTGAACTATTTAAAACTATGATTTTCTTTCTCACTGCCACAATGATGACACAAATACGCAGCATGTGAAGAAGAGGGGCATTTAGGGCAATTGCCTCCAGAGGGACATTGTAGGAAGTTTGTCTCCAAAGAGGGGGCATCGGAGGAAATTACTCAGAGAGTGAGTGATAGCTGAGGCTGAGTATATCTGCCCATTCACCCTATATATATGCACTGCTTTCTCATGACCCTGGCCTCTAACATGAGTCTGGGATGACATGCACCAGACCCTCTTGTAAGAGCATTCTACAGGGAGTTTCCACATCCAGAGAAGGTCCAGCTAAAATCCTGGCTAAGTGACTTCTGTGGCCTTCTGGACCAGAAGAAAGTCCCTGCCAAGACAAACAAAGGTGATGAAGCATCTGTTAGGGCAACACAGGCTGACTAAGTCTGCTCACCTAAGAGTGCCAAGAGTCTAAGCAGGCAACAAGGAAGTGGAGTAGACCTGATGACTAAGACCTATCTACAGTATAGGTACCTGTGGATGATCCTAAGAGACCAAGTCTGAAGAGACAGTCCCAGGCAGAGTAGGCCTTATATTTATACCTCCGTGGG